TTTATCATTTGTCATTCTTAGCTGGAATTCTGTAGTACAGGAAGCATTGTTTTATAATTTTTTCCCCAGTTTCCATTCAGTACCACATGAATAGGATCAGAGGAGGTAGATGAGGAGTAACCCAGGTTTGGGGCTTGGCAGGGTAATGGGAAAAGGGTACAAAGCTTTTGAGTGTAGAGGATAGTTGAATGGATTCATTAAGAGGTCAAGATAAGGGAGGGAGGGGGCATCGAGGTGGCAAAGTAGACAGAGCACTGGCCCTGGAGTCAGGAGGACTGAGTTCAAATTGGGTCTCTGACCCATGATACTAGCAACGTGACCCTGGGCAAGTCACTTAACCACAAGTGCCTTGGGGGTGGGGGAGCAAAAAATTGAGGGGTGGAGGAATTGGAGGTAATGGTGAAAATCTTAGTGGTTGTAAGGCATGTGGAAAAATAGAATGATAAAAGAAGTAGCCAATAATAGTAAACATTAAGTACCTGCAACAGTGCTAAATGCTGGGAATACAGATAATAATAAGAAAGACAGTCCTTGCCTTCAAGGAGTTTATAATCTGATGGGGAAAGACTGTACATAAAAGGAAGCTGGGAGTAGGGTGGGGTGGAATGTTACTAGAGGGTACCAGATAGGGACATAATATTAAAGGAGTTGAACCAAGCAGAAAAGCTGATGGGAAATAGAAAGATGGCTGGAAAATTCTGAGCCCTCTAAAAAGGAAGGTTTGGGGAGGACCTTTTTTTTTTTTGCCTTATCCTCCAGCCCTCCAATCAAAAGGGAGAAGCAACTGAGGGTACTGAGGAGGTATTGAGTATCAAAGCCAAAGCAATCTCTAAGAAGATGGAATTTCTGGTGATGAGCTTATCCTGAGGAAAGCATGATGTTCATAGAGTCAAAGCCAAGCAGAGCAGCTGGTGGGAAATGGAGAGATGGCTGAAAAAATTCTGAGCCCTCTATAAAGGGAGGCTTTGGGAGTTTTTTGCTCTGCTCTCCAGCCCCTCCAATTAGAAGGGAGAGAATACTTGTGGGTAATGGCTAAGTCAAGGTTATGATCACCTTTTAGCTGAGGTGGAATAGAGCGGTCATGAGAACTGAATAGGTTGAGGAACTTGGAAGTTAGGGTTTTTGAGGCAGGTTATTTACTTGTTGAGGGAGCATCAGTATGTTTGTTGAAGTCCTTCTAGTATAAGAGCAGGAGCTGGCAGACTGTGTGTGAGTCAGGCACTGAACTCATTGAAGGAATAGAGAATGTTCTGGGGGTTCAGTAGATAATGGTCATCAGGCTCTGAAGTAGGTGATAAATTTAAATAACAAGAACCTTAGAAAAAAGAGGGGTTGCCAAGTGATAATGGTGAAGGAAAATATGGAAATGGCAACAGGGAGCAAGGAATATTCTAAAAGTGTTTGAGAATCATAAAATTTGGCAAAAAAAATGCTAAGACTTTGTGCTTTTAGAGATTTTCACAGAATTGTTCAATACTGATTAATTCCAATGTTGGATCACAAAGAATATAAAATTGGGGTTTGGATCAAGGTACCAGAGCCATAACTAGAAATTTTGTCATAGAGAAAAACAGTTGAGGAGAATGTGGTATAGTGCAGAAAACAGACTATTTTTGAGTATAATTAGGTTAAGAGAGAAAATGTCCCACTTCCCAGAGGGAAAAAACAGAGCTTCTTTGAAATTGGGGAGAGGAAATAGGAGGATCTTGGAAGGGTAGTAACATAGAATTGGGTCCTAGGGGTGTTGGCCTAGGCCAAATAAGAGATTGAAGTCATTCAGTTCTTTCAGGCCAGTAGAAGACTGCAAGGTATAGAGATGGCAGTCAGCTGGTTTTGGTGCCTAAATATTACCTAATTTAATAACGAATTCCTAGGTGTAGTGTCTGGACCTGTGATTTTATTGGTATAACAAACTTCTGGATGAAGAAACTTCCTCTGCCAGCTCAAGTCAGAGCCTTCTTGGCAACTTATAGTTTTAGAGAGTTACCTATGGCATTGAGACATTACGTAATTTGGTTATAGAATTTTTTTTTAGTTATTGAAGACATTTCCCCACTTCTTACTCATTGACAGAATCTATTTAGAAATAAATTATATTCCTTTATTCAAATTCCATTTTTTTTAGTAGGGAAATGATTCTTCTGTGTTAAGTATATCTTCTGTTGTTCCTTGAAAGGAAATTAATTCAGTTAAAAAATTTGCACTTTTGAAAAGTTATGTTGCACCAGGGGTGGTTTGTGTTCATAAATTAATCCTGCTCATGTCCTAAGCCTAAAAAAAATGAAAGGAAGGGTTAATATAAAGGCAGTGATTCAGAAAGAGAACAGTGATCATCCTTTGTGAAAGCAAAGGCATTGCTTCAAAACCAAAGGAATTAAATCTAGATATTCAGGAAAAGCTTTTCCCAAAGGGGTTTTTATGACAACATAGTGGAAAGAGGTTACAAAAGCACTAGGTTCACAAGCGGAACAGTAAGTTAAGTAAACTTTAGGGTAGTATTTCCCTTCTAATTCTAAGTCTCAGGTTTTCTTTTCTTCTTTCCACGGAAGACTCTCTAAGTCTAGAGATCTTTATAAAACTACATGAATAAAATAAAAATTGGACCTTTTATTTCATTGGTATGCAAAACTCCTTTTGTGGAAACTTCCTGTACTGATGCAGATGAGTAGGTTTTTATTCTTTTAGAAAGTTGGTAGGGGCAGCTAGGTGGCGCAGTGGATAGAGTACCGACCCTGAATTTAGGAGGACCTGAGTTCAAATGCGGCCTCAGACACATGACACTTACTAGTTGTGTGACCCTGGGCAAGTCACTTAACCCCATTGCCTAGCCAAAAAAGAAAGTTGCTGGAGGAGTTGTGGAAAGATACTTTTACTCACACAGCTAATGTGTGTCAGAGAGAGCCTTGAACCCAGCCTTTCCTAACTACATGGCCCACTCATTAACCATAACTCTGCGTTGTTTCTATTAAAAAATGGCTGATTGCTTAAAGGTGGCTTGAAGAGGACTGTAACTTAAACAGCCATCTGAAGTAATGGCTTTGTCTTAAAAATTTTAACCTAGTAGGGGAAATATTCTATACTTGGGGGTGGTATTACATCTAGCTATCACATTTTCTTGTTTCTTACAGGTGCATAAAGGATAGTATTTCCTCTTAGGTGCCTGTGAGTGTAGTGACAACTCTAAAAACCTTCTCTAGCTTTTTTATAACACTCAGAACTACACAGAAAAGTATTGCAACTATATAATGGCTACTAGTTTGGAGTGAGAAGCTAGAAGCATGGCCCAAAGGACATTTCTTCCAATTCTGTTCTCTTGCATGAAGTGGATAATCAAATACATTTTTCTTGGTTTCAATGAACTAGATCACTATAGATTATCATAATTTGTCCTATGTTTCAGATATCACACAGGCTGCAAGTCATACATTATCTGAGGCTAAGGATTTTGTTGGTCATTCTCACCCTGGCTCTCCATTCTCCCTAGTTAGTTGTTTCTATTGCTGGTCTGGGCTGCTAGGTGTTAACAGTGGTAGAGTGCCAAGCCTAGAGTCAGGAAGACCTGAATTCAAATCTGGCCTCAGACACTTACTAGCTGTGTGACCCTGGACAAGTCACTTAACCCTGTTTGCCTCAATTTTCTCATATGTAAAATGAGCTGGAGAAATGTCTTTGCCATGAAAACCCCAAATTGGGGTCATGAAGAGTTGGTGATGACTGAAATGATTGAACAACAACAATAACAATAGCAGATAGAGCTGGGAGTTGGAACCAGGAAGACTTAAGTTCAAAGCCAGCCTTTGTATAGATGTGTGACCCTGGACAAGTCACTTAACTTCTCTGTCTCAGTTTTCTCATTTGTAAAGTGGGGATAATAATAGCACCTTCCTCTCAGCATTGTGAGGACAAAATGAGTTAACATAGGTAAAATGCTTTGCAAACCTTCAAGTGTTACATGAAAACTCTCAATGATAATGATAGAGACTGAGGAAAAATAAAGGTATTTGGGGTTGTGTATGTTATACCAGTAACAAAAGCAGTGGATAAAAGAAAATACTAAAAATAATGGTATTTCATTAGAATTCTATTTTAGTGTGGTGATGTATTGATTGAAATAAAAGAAATTTACAAACATATGTAGTCTTCTAAGTTGTTTTGGAACAGTTGCCTTCAAAATTTTCCATGAAGTACCAGCAGCTTTTTGAATATTAATGTATATGTATATTTATTTTAGAAAAACTATGTTCAGTCATGAAATCTGTGAATATGCATGGTATAAATTGAAACCTTGTTGTGTAACTTATCAGCAGTGACTTTTTACCCCATTTCATTAAAGGCTCTGGGTAAAGAGCAGAGGTCTTGTGTCAAGGGTGGTTACTCTGTAATTGGAGGTTCTGAGTTTCACAAGGCTTAAGGGACTGCAACTGGAAATGCCTTCTCCTGCCACCCTGATTTATCTTTTTTTAATAACATCATCGCTTAACCTCATTGCCTAGCTAAAAAGAAAGAAAGAAAGAAAGAAAGAAAGAAGGAAAGAAAGAAAGAAAATTGCTTATTCATATCCTTTGTATATTTCTTAACTACGGAATAGTTCTTGTTCTTATAAATCTGGGTCAATTTCTGTCAGTCAGTACATATTTGTTAAGCACCTACTACGTTCCAGACACTGTGCTAAGCACTGGGGATACAAAAAGAGGCAAAAGATAGCCCAGTGTCCTTAAGGAGCTTACAATCTAATTCCGTTTATATATTTTAAAAATGAGATTTTTATGAGAGGAATTCGCTACAAATATTTTTTCCCAGTTACATGCTTCCCTCTAATTTTAGCTACATTTGGTTTCGTTTCTGCCAAATCTTTTTACTTTTATGTGTAATCAAAGATGACTATTTTATATTTTGGATTTATAAATTTACTTCTCAAGTTCTCATCACTATATATATATACACACCTTAACACATAAAATTCCCAAATATTTATTATTTCCTATATTTGACTTCTACAGCTAGGTTTTCATTCTGGAATTGGGAATTCAGACTTCACCCATTCATTCACTTGCGGGGCCTTCATTGGATAGCTGAACATTCATTCAACACCTTTTTATTAAGTGCTTAAAAGCCTGGAGGAGATACAAAGGTAATTAAGGCATAGTCCTTATTTTTATGTAGGTCTGAATTTAGCGAGAATAATGTGACACCAACCCAAATGTTCAGTAACTAAAATAATTATAATGTAGGAAATAACTACATGGTGTCCCCAAAGTTTTAGTGCAGTTTTAAGCAACTAAAACTTACTTTTACACCTCTGAAGCTTAAAGCTGCACTAAGACTTTTGGGACACTATGAGATACAGTTCTTTTGACACCTAAGGAAGGAAGGATCATTTCTGGTTGGGAAATCAGTTCATGGAGTATTTCTATCTACTTAAAACTTCCTTATAGCAAGGACCACATCTTATCTAAACTTAATCTAACATCACACTATGGAGCACATATTCGGCACTTAAATGTTTATTGTATAATGAGGAAAGAATATCCACAGTTCCTAGATTTGATTCCTGGCCACCTGTGACCTTGTTTGGGTAAAAGGTACTCTTTCTAGACCTTAGTTTCCTCATCTGTTAAAGGAGGAGGTTGGACTAGGTCAGAAGTGCCAAATAGGTGGCCCACAACACTTCTAGCTGCAGCCTGAATTAGATTAAAATGTAGTTACTAGCTGATTTTACTGCAGTGATGTATTGATAAAAAAAGAAATTTATATAAATGTATCATTTTCTAAGTCAGTATGCAGCACATGGGATCCTTATGGACAATTTAATGGCCCCTGTTTCTATTTCTGTTTGAAAAGTCCTTTCTCAAAGGTCCTTTCTGGGTATAAATCTGTGTGTGCTATTTTTATAACTCCCAAACTACTTTCATATTGACCCCTTTTTCCCTCTATTTACAAATCCATTCTTTCTGAAATTTTCCAAAAGATTTTAACATAATATTTAGCTTTGAGAAGGTAACATCATCTTTAGCTAGAAAGGGCTTCTGATTGTGTGTTTTGGCATATATACATATACATATATATGTATGTATGTATGTATGTATTTATGTATATGCTTCACACTTTCATTTATTTCCTATATTCCTGACAAGACGATCTGTTTTTTCTACCTTATCACTGAGTCATTTTGGGAAGAGTAGTATTGTTTTGGCACTCATAGGACCACGAACCTTGGTCTGTCACTACCTTCTGAGAAATGCGCTGAGTGTTTAGATTGTGGTGTCTGATAAAGCATCATGCTTGGATGGGTTTTGCTGTAATCTTAAAGGGCTTGAGATTCCTTCCTATGGTTATAGACGATCTCAAAGGTCCTTTCTGGGTATAAATCTGTGTGTGATATTTTTATGATTTCCAAACTTCTGTCATTGGAAGCAGTAGCTCTCCTCTGCTCCCTATTTCTTATACCTGGACTAATCTGACTTTTACTTTGTGATGAACTTTCTTTGCTATGGGATCTTTGTGTATCTTGACATCCAGCTCAGTTAATTCAACAGACATAAGGACAAAAGTAAAACAGTCCCTGCCCTCAAAGAGCTTATTCTACTGTGTTAAAACCTTTATATTTCTCTAATTATACTCTTTGCCATCCAAAGATCTGGATTTCCCTTTGGGTCTTGTTTCCAGGGTTCAAAGGTCAAGAGATCAACTCATAAAATAGCTAAAGCTGTTACCACAGATAATTTCAAGCATTGGTCCCAGCAGAGGGGAAAGTATACATGTAAAATTTGGGGTGGGAGTATTTTTTGCTACATAATATTATGGTCAGATGTCAAACTCTAAACTGGAAGTGAATTGGCTAAAGCTCCAATATAGTTTAATAATAATATGATAATAGCTTGCATTTAATATAATACCTGCTATATGCCTGGCACTATACTAAGCCCTTTACAGATATCTCATTTTGTCTTCACAACAGCCTTGTGAAGTCTGCTATTATTTCCCCCATTTTATAGTTGACAAAACTGAGGCAAACAAGTTAAATGACTTGCCCAAGGTCTGAGAAGGTAGTAAGTGTCTGAGAAGACAAGAACTTAGTTCTTGACTCAAGGTTTGATAAAATGCTTAGAATTGATGAAATTAAAATACTACATTTTATTTTGCTTTGTGACTGAAATGGTTTGCATGCTACTTTTATTAGGATGGGATTAACAAGCTTTTAAAAATGGTGTGCCACAATCTGAAATAATTTCCTTGAGTTTTGTTTCCATGACATAGCTTTTCTGTGTGGAGGGTTATAGTAAGAGGACGTGTGCACTGACAATATCACGAGGAAAAGTCAGTCAGTAAATAAGCATTTATTGAACACCAACTATGTGCCAGGCATTGCATTAAATGATGGAGACATAAATACAAGTAAAAAGAAAGACACTTCCTGCCCTCAAGGAGCTTACATTCTAATTGAGGAATAGGAAACATAAAAGGAGAGCTAAAAAGGAAGGGCGGTGTTACTGAAGGAAGACAATAGAACTGGAGAGGTACCTGTGAGGAAGGCAAGGTATCAAAGTTCAGGGCATGAAGGATGGCTAGTCAGGGCCCTTAACCAAAATGGAGGTTCCGGGAAGAATTTACCAGTAGGGGAAGGGACCTGCTGAGGAGGTGGTTGGAGGAGGCAGCTGAGGCCTGTTGGAGAATAGGCCTCCTTATTAGTGAAAAATACCCTATGGGAAACGGAGCTTGTCCACTCTTCTTGTGCTTGGGGATAGCTGATTAATCACAGCATTTTCAACCAAAGTATTATAAGAACAACACTTGATCAATGTTCTTTAGTACTATTTCCCCCCTAAAATCTGGATTACACTTGTTGGTTATATTGTAGAGGGGATTCTTGTTCAGGTATGAGTTGGTCTTAGGTCTCTCAATTCTCAGATTCTGTGAGTCTTGAGTCGGATGAAATCTAAACGATTAAGTAACAAGGCTCATGTCAGAAGAATGTAAGCTCCTTGAGAGCAGGACCTCTCATTTTTGTCTTTCTACTGCTCTCCTTATTTTTCTCCCCCTCTCCTGGTGCCTAGTACAATTTCTGTCATCTAATAGGACTTTAGTAAATGCTTTTTTAAAAATTGAATGTTCAAGTTGTTCTAAAAGGTAGGTGGCATTGATTTTACTCCCAATGAGTTATTTGTTAGATAAGATTTCCTTTTTGCCTTCCCCTTCTCTTTCCCTACCTCCAACATATTATTTTGTTTGACTTATAATAGTTTGTGCTTTCTGCATACCCTTCGAATTCTTATTAACTCCACTACTTTTTTTGATAATTATAGTGATTTAAAAAAATATGTATTTGACTACAAGAGTAATGACCCACCATAGAATGATCTATCAATTTTTTTTTCTGGTAGTGTGAATGGATTTACACTGATCTATCCCTGCACTGCTCTAATTCACCTTTTTGAGGAATAATAAGTTTTGTGCTTAGAATCATAGATTTAGAGCTGAAAGAGACCTTAGGCTATATAGTTCAGTTTCCTCATTGTACAAATGAGGAAACTGAGACCCAGGGAGATTAAGTAACTGTCTGGGGTTACAAACATCAGAGGCAGAATTTGAACCTGAGCTCCCTATTTTAAATTCAACATGATTTTTTATTATATTATACTGCTTCCCTAAGGGGTGTCATCTGTGGCTGTGGAATACAGCAAAGTCGATTGACTTATATACCAGTGACCATGACTTTGGTTTCATTGGCTCTTGTCAGGCTGATCTAGCCATCTGTGGACAAGTCTTAGGAAGTCAGCAAGTATTTAGTAAGCACTTACTTCAGATTCTCCAATGAGTTATAAGTAGAAGAATCTCAGAGTATGAGAGAGAGAGAGAATGGGTTGTGATCTCTACCGTTGTGGGGAGTAACAATATGAATGCAGTCACAAATCCATCGAAATATCAAACTTGCTATATGTTGATGTTAGTTTTTTTCTAGTCTCCAAAATTAAATAGGAATATCTATATAAAGTCATTTATATTGACATCTGAAGCAGAGAACCCATAAACAATAGGTTAAAAATGGGTGAGTAAAGGTATTCTTATGGGATGTTATCTAGATAGTAATAATGCCCTGGTAATAATGAACTCTGCCTTGGTTTTAAAGGACAACTGCAACGGGACTCAGTAGCTCGTATGCTAGGGGTAAAGTTGATACTGAATATATGTTTCATTGCTTTTTATAAATAAATAGTGAGCAAATATTTGGCAAAAGAAAGAAAAGGATCCCTAACCCCCAACCCTTTGAGGGAAGTATCTCCTGTTAACAAGTTATTTGAATGTTTACTTTTGTCCTGAATCCTTACTAGTGCTGTGACTGTACTTGCCCTTGAACTGAGTGAGAATTCAAATAAACTGAAGAAATTTTTGCACAGCTGGCCCCTTCTGCCAACTGAGTGTTACCAAAAATATCCTTTCTTTCTCACTGAAAAGGTCAGTTGGAGAATTTCTAAAAAAGCTTGTGAGAGACCTATTATTCTGAGCTAAATAGGAGCCTACAATACAGCTTTTCTAGCCTTATGTGGATCTTTTTTATGTAAAATGAAATTGTATTGTTTTGTTGAGGGTTCAAGGATCATGGTAATATTTGTGACTTTTAAAAAGTAATGCTTAAGTGAATCCTTTCTTCCATCTTCTTCGTACTATTAAATTTCCCAAGTAATAATACCATTTGGGGATTATGTGAAGTATAACAAAGAATGAACAACAACCATTAAGTATGTTATGTAAAGTATACAACTTGTTGTATCAAGTATAAGTATTTTTCTTAGAGTATAGGGCAGATATTCATACCCATTTATAAATCTTGGAGCAGCTCTAAAATGCCATTGAAGAAACTGTATAATTTAAAGTATTCCTCAGTGAACATATTCCTCTTTCAACTCAGCTACCTTGAATGCATAGTTAGTCACAAGGGAAATGAATGAGATGGAGAATAGGTGGATAAATTTAAGAATTCATTACTGCTGCTGAAAACGCTTAGAAATACACCTTACTAAGGATGGGCCAGAGATATTATGTTACAAAAGAACAACACAGTATTCATTATATTTGTCATCATTAATGTATCAAGGCCTTAATATCATGATCTTGTATTTTGAATCTACTCAATTCAGTTGCAGGTCCAGTTTTCCATCATCTAACTTTGCAACTATGACTAATTTGGGTGATTGTGAAGGTTGAATCGCTTCATTAAGACCACTGATATATCAAGATAAATTGCTTGGACACAAAATGGAATCTTAATAATGTGAAGAGTTAGTGGAGTTTCTAAAATGCCTAATTTAGTCTCCATAAATTGGTTTAAGTTGTAGGAGAATCTGCTTCATTAAGACCCCTGAGTGTGATTCTCTGTAGAGCTATCAAGAAGATTAAGACATAGACTCTCACTTTTGTCTGCTTATACAAAAAACGTTTAAAGGTTTTTCTTTTTCTCCTTCATTTGTTTCAGTGTGCCAAGAGCTGTGTTTTACTCTGGAAGTCTATTCTATCAGCCCCTGTATTCTGGCGCTATGAATCCAGATCTTGGATCATTACAGACACTGTTATATGTTTCTTTTATGATCCTGTGTTCTTCTGTAAGTTCAGGTAAGCCTGTAGTAATGGTACTAGAGTATATAGCTAAGGACTGCTTTGACCAATTGCCTGGATTGTTTGTGTATGAACATCCTGTACCAGAGTGGCACTGAACTTTTTCAAATATAAGGACTTCCTTTTAATTTCTAAAAATTTTGAGAGCTGTCTTGTAATGGTAATTGTGCTATTAATAAACATTGAGAAAATAATGATAAAAAGTTACCATGAATTCAGTAATGTTTTTAAATGGATTGTTTTAGAAATCACAAAGCATCTGTATACATTTGAGAATTACTAACATACACATATATGTATATGTTACAATTCTCGTTTTCATGTAGATGCCAGGAGTCCTTGAATAGGTCTGTGGTCTCCTAGGGGTATAGGGTTCCCAGGTTGGGAGCACAAGTGCCACCTTCTGTACAAGATCCTTTTGTTTGTGAATTTCAGGAATTTCTTTTATTGCTTAAATTTCTAGTTTAAATTTTCTTTTACTCAACAAAAATTTATTTTGTCTCCCTACTTCTTCCTGTACCCCAATTAGGAATAAAATAAAAATGCGTTTAACAAATATGCATAGTCAAGCCTAACAAATTCTCCCATTGGCCATGTCCAAAAAACATGTCTGTATGTCTCATTCAGTACACTGAGTTCATAACTTCTCTGTCAGAAGGTGGGTGGTGTTTCATCATTAGACTTCTGGAACTCCACCTGGTTGATCCTTGCATTGATCTTAAGTCTTTCAAAATTGTTTATCTTTACAGTATTGTTGTTGTTATTGTATTAATTGTTCTCCTGGCTCTGCTCACCTCTGTATCAGATCATACAAGTCTTACCAGGTTTCTTTGAAACCATTCCTTTTCTCATTTCCTGTGATTCACTAGTATTCCAACATAGCCATATGCCATAATTTCCCCAGCTATTTCCCAATTAATGGACACCCCCTTAGTTTTCAGTTAGAGCTACCACAAAAAGAACTGCTATAAATACAATGTATATATGAGGCCTTTTTCTTTTGGGTTTTTTTTTTGGGTGTAGGCCTAGTAATAGTGCACAGAGTCAGAGTCTGCACAGTTTAGTGACTTTTTTTTAGCATAGTTCCAAATTGCTTTCTAGAATGACTGGATTAATTTACAGTTCCATCAAGAGTACATTAAATAGTAGTGACTGGTTGAATAAAATTCAGTTGATTATTACTGCAGAAAGAATTCTGTGTAAAAACAAGAGTGAGGATTTTTGATGAGGAAAACCCCATGACATCTCACACAACTTATGTACCTCTCATACTTTTATCATGTTCTGTTTTGTATGATGGTTGTTTGGTTATGTCTTATGTCCCTTATTAGATAGTGGGTTCCTTTAGGGATAGTCTCCCTCCCTTACATTTATTGGTATCTAGCACAATACTTTGTACATTGTAGATAATAATGAATATTTGTTGAATTCTCACATTGTACTTGTTAAATATCAGAGATTATCATAGCCAGTTTAAAACAGTTGAGCCTGCCCTGAGAAAACTACCTTCTGGATTCTAGTAGTTCCTCTGCTGGAAAACTAAGGTCTTACTTCACCACCTTGTTTCAGTGTAGAGATTACCGTGGGCTTTTGAGGGTTATCTCAGCAGGAATGCAAGTTTTAGTAGGTTCTGCCAGCTGTGAAGGACTTTGAGCATAGACCCAACAATGTCATTTGTCCGTTGACTGAGAACCAGCATAGCTAAATTTGGAGAGGCTCATCTTCAGTTGGGTACAGCAACTCGTGGTAAATGTTTTGGTCACAGCTATTTGAAAATAGCCCTATTAAGAAGGGAATACCCATACTCTTGATGAAAGCCATGAATTCCTTAATGTATTTATGAAATCACAACAACAGACTCAGGTTAGTGCCAAAATCTTCATTTTTTATTACATCATAGGATCAAAGAATTTTAAGCTGGAAAGGGGATGGATCATCTAGTCTTCTGTAAAAGTAGATTCAATAGCTAATGTTATCTTTTCTTTCTTGTAAGAATTTTGTTTTATTCAGCTTCGCAAAAAAAATTTCTGTTCTCCTTAATCCAAACTCTTCTCTTTTAACTTTGCCACATTAACAAGCAAACTTCTCTCTCCTATGTTTCTGAAGGAACCTACTTAGTAAATTAAATAATTTGAGAGACAGAAAAGTAATTCCTCCATTTTAGCTACATTTCATTAAAAATTAACTTCACGTTTTATTATAGCTGTTTTTCTTTTTTTATTTTCTTAATTGAAAGATTAAAAAACTAAAACTAATAAAAAGTATTTCGAGGCTAACATTCATAACTTTTTTTTCTCACAAAGTCAAATTCTGTTAGTAAAAAGTAGAGTAAATTGTTCTTTTTATGAACATAATTGCCATGCTTTTTTTTTTTACTCCCTCTCCTTCTTCCTTTGCCATACTTTCAAAAGAACTAGCATTTCTTATGGACTGCTAAGTCATAGCCATATGACCTGCAGGTGTTAATGTTTCTCAGAAAATCAAACATTGGTTTGGTTTTTTTTCCTATAAATAGAACTGAGCCTGTTATGTGATTTTTATTCTTGAACCTCTTAAGTAGGCTAGAGTCTTAACTCTCAGACTGGTAGTCTATCTTTCTTTGCTTCTAAAAATGGGTTATAAGGATATTGATATCAAGAACAACAAAATTAAATAAGTAACAGAAAATTCTGCCTATTGATGTGAATGAAACAAAGTAGAAGCCCTTTGAAGGTAGGAACTCCTGTATTTTTCTTTATATAGGCAAATTACTTAACTTTTCTGCTTCAATTTTCTCCTCTGTGAAAGGGGGATAATAATAATAGCATCTACCTCACAGAGTTGCTGTGAGGAGAAGCTATTAGTAAAGCACTTTGGAAACTTTAAAGTGCTACATAAATGGTAGATTTCTAGATATCTCCAGTACCTAACAGAATCCCTTGCATATTAGGTACTTAATAAATGTTTAAAATGTTTAGTGAATGGAATTGAGTGTAATGCCCTTAATGCCCTTTTCACTTTTTTGGGGGGGGGTTTCCTTATAGACTTGGTACCTCGTTTTATTTCTGAGCCACACTCTATTGTCCAGAAACTTGGTGAATCTGTAACCCTACAATGCTCTGCTCAACCTGTGACCGTACACATATCATGGTTACTTAATGGAAAAAAATTCGACAGAAATGTGGAGCAAATTGAGGTTCAGCAGGGGACGTTAACCATTCTTTCTCTCAGCCCTTCTGTTTGTGGTCAGTATCAATGCATCGCCAACAACAGCATTGGTGCAATTGTGAGTAAGCCTGCGACAGTATCCATTGGAGGTAAGTTTGATATTTCAACTTTTGATGTATAGTATATCCCCCAAATGGCGGGAGGCTTATTAAATTGGTGCCACCCATTATAGCTTGAAGTCCTGCCAAAGGTAAAACAGTAGGCCAAGCCCAATGATGTGGGTTTGTTTTTTGTTTGTTTTTTTGGAAGGCCATCTGAATGTGAACACATTTCCAATGTAAACTTTGGAATTAATATTTTAAAACTTTAAAATTCAGTTTTAGGAGTTCATTATTTGCTTTGACACTGAGTTCCTTTATTTCATAATACCCCTTATCTTTTTTAAACATCTGATTGCTTTGTCCATATAGACCTCCTATGTCTTGGTTACTGAGTTGATTTGAATTCAATAATAAAAATTGGGCTAGAGAAACAAGAAAAGATGATTGAATTGTCCATGAGGAAAGGAATATCATCTCCTGACTGTGGAGATAGTAGAAAATCTGGAGCAAGTGTTTTTCTTAGTTTGAACTATCTACCTTTCAAACAGTGGTGGCTGCTAGTACTCCAATAAACACACAGAGGGTTGAATACCCTAGACCAGTGGTGTCAAACTCAAGTAGAAATGGGACCAGTAAGTTTTATGTAGGGCCACATATTGACTTAGTTGTAAAATGCAAAATGTTACTTATGTTTTATTGTATTTTTTTATTTTGTTAAATGTTTCCAGTTACATTTTAATTTAGTTTCAGCCATGCATTGACATCTCTGCCCTAGAATAACTATAAACTGCTGGAAACTTTTAGATTAAGAGAAAATAACAAAGAATACCTTGCACACAGGTTGGGGAACAAGTTCAGCCATTTTAAGATTTGCTTTCTTAATGGGGAGCTGAGAGGCATTGTGACTGATTGTGACATCTGATATTCAGATGATTCAAGCAATGCACTAAGAATTAGTCCTGCACTTGATATTGCAGTGAGAAATGATGTGGATTGGATAAAGATATATATGATGAGTGAGTTTTAGTTAAAGATTGTACTGAAGAGGTGATGCAGAACATTACAGGCATAGGGGGATAGCCTGTCTAAGGGCAGGAGATCAGAATGTTGTATTTAAGGAACAGCAGATAGACTGGAGTCTACTACCAACTGGATTATAGAGTATGTGGCAGGGACTCAAGCGTAAGAAGACTCAAGGTAGCAAGGGGTCAGGTTGTAAAGGGCTTTAAATACTATATAGAGGAGCAAGGAGGCAGCCATTTGTTATTTCTTATTTGCCCCTCTCCCCATTTTTTGCCCCTAACTTTTTGGGAAGAAAATCTTGCTATTCTCTAGGATTAGCAGAAAACTAAGACTAGATGACAAATGTTATTTTTAGTACTTACATCTTCCAGAAAAATAGAAGCAAAACTTTCTTCATCTTTCTAAATTGGTTTTTACTTTCAAGGTCTTAGTGATTTTGGTGTATCAACAAAACATGTTGTTATAGCAGAGGAACAAAGTGCTGGGTTCATTGGCTGCAAGATACCAGAAAGTAGTCCTTCAGCACAGGTGCGCTATAAGGTCCGGGGGAAATGGCTGGAACATTCCACAGGTAAGATCTATTGTTGCAAGGAATCAGTGAACGGAACTGAACGTATCTGTGGTATCTCTGTAGCTGAACATGTTTTGTTTTGTTTTTCTTTTTAATGCATGATGGTTCATTGTGGGTCCATTGTTACTGATGGGCTTGTTTTTTTTTCCTTAGCCACTATTGCAGTTTATGAGGTCATTTTCTTGATTTCTGTTCACTGCTTATATGCTTCCAAGTCTCTATCTAAACCTATAACTGTTGTTCAGCTGGTTTGTAATTCTATCATAGGACAAAATAAGAAACCTAATCATATTCCTTCTCCTTCCTTCTAGATAACTACCTAATCCTTCCATCAGGAAATCTTCAGATTTTGAATGTATCTTCAGAGGACAAAGGGTCATATAAATGTGCAGTTTACAATCCTGTCACACGTGAATTAAAAGTTGAACCCACAGGCCACAAGCTCATTGTGAGCCGTAAGTATTTGGTTACCTTTGGTAGTACTTAGGGAGAAAATCCTTTCATAATTACTCTCACAAAAAGTTGGTAAGTGAGTATTAATGTGGATACTTGGATAGTGTGCTTTCCTACACATGCTTATTTAACGTTGAGCCGATCTTTAAAAATAAATGCCACATACTTCAAAGAGCTAAGGATGCTGTTAAGGCACCATCAAAGGAATTGGTTTTTTCCCTCAAAATTTGTATTGGAGTAACCAAGGTGTGGTATTTATAGTGACGTCCATTCTTCCTCATAAAGCACAGTATATGAATGGTAGAAAGGGAAATATTGTAAAAATTCATGATGTTTGTCTGTCTTTCTCCTCCGTTTCATAAATTCATTAATGTCATGGGCCCTACACCTTAATGGGTCTTAACCAGAAAGTCTGTCTACTAACCTATGGCTAGATACCGAGGACTAAGAGATGGATTAAGGAAATAATATCCAAACTACAAATTGAGTGTTACATCTGGACTTCCTGAAAATTCTGTAGCTCCATCCAGCAAGAGTGGCCATGATAATAACAGAAACGATTCATTTTATTCATCTATTTCCTATAGACGTTATCTACAACAAAGCCTTGTAGACAGGAAAGCAAAGGAGAATAAATAAGATGTTGGGAATGCTCAGCAAAGAGGAAAATATATTAGAAGAGACAACTTTTCATATTATTTTTCCGTTTTGCTTACCTCTTTTAGGTCCTTCATCAAAATATGTTCGAATCATCCACCCCACCTTTTCCCAGTCATTGGCAGCTGTTTCTCACAATCCTGTAACTCTGGAATGTGTGGTGAGTGGGGTACCTGCTTCTCAAGTGCAGTGGATAAAGGACGGCCATGGTTCTCTGTTGGGAGGTAACTGGAGACAGTTATATTCCCACCTGGTCACAGATAGCATAGACCCAGATGATGCTGGAAACTATTCCTGTGTGGTGGGAAACAAGTCTGGAGAGCTCACACGTGTGACCTACACAGTTAATGTGCTTGGTAAGACATTATATGTTTTTAAGTCACACTTAAATTAGATTATTTTTCTGGTTCTGCTCTTGTCCAACACTAATTTCTTTAGATATGAGGTTAACCTGTCCATTGAAAAATATAGCAGGAACACAGACAACCTATATCAAATTGCTTGCCTTTTCAGTGGGGAGTGAGGTGGTGGGGAGGGGAAGGAGAGAGAGAATTTGGAACTCAAAAATTTTAAAAAACAATTGTTAGAATTATTTTATATGTATTTCAGGAAAAAATAAAAAGCCAAATTTAAAAAAAAAAAGAAAAATATAGCAGGAGAATGTAAGAAGAGTTACCTGAGAGTAAGCATGGTATAGTAGACAGGCTGGATGGAGGAGTGGGAAGTTGGCAGAATTTAGGGTCAGGGCCCTTGGTTTGCATAACATTTCTTCAGTAAGACCTCAGACAAGTCCATTCACCAGCTGTAAAATAAGGGAATTGAACTCTATAAGTGTGTCAGACTCAAATGGAAAGGGATCCTGTGAGCTAGTATTGACTTAGAAAACCACAAATTAACATTATCTGTGTTTTATTGTATTTTTATTTTTATTTTATTTAAACATTGACCAGTTACATTTTAATCGGTTTGTATATATTCAAGAATTTTGTAGGTTGCTTGCGGTTGTCCAACCCTAAATCCTGTGATCCTGTGAAATTAGTAGTAGCGATGAAGGCAAAAGGCTAGCAAGAAAATGGAAAATTGTAAAATATCACCTCTTTACATAGTACCTGATTTAATTTCATCTTTCGTAATGCATTTGTTTGTGTCTCTAATTTATACAGTAGCCTTGATCCTAGCCACATTTTTACACATACCCTTTCTTTCTCTCTGGCCATCTTGAGCTTTTGCCATTGAGGTCACTGTATAAAATGGCTATTTAAAGAAAATATATTTCCCTTCCACCTGTACTTCTTTGAAAACCCAGAAAAAATAAAATAGAAAGGAAAGTCAAAATAAATTCAATTTTTTAGTTTCTCTGGAGGTATTTACTGTTAGGACATGCCTTGTAGAAAAACATTAAATTGTCTATTCCAGTAAGAAATCATTTATAACAGCTTTATGAAAAGTGGGATTGATTTTTTTTTTCTTGGTGTCCCACAAGTAAAGATGAAATGCATATTTTTTTAAGGTAACAAGGCCAAAAAATTACTTCTTAGACCCTAAAAGAAAAAAAAATCCAACCCCCTCCCCCCACATCCAGAGAAAGAACCATGGAGTCTGAATGCAGATTGAAGCATACTATTTTCTTTGTCTTTTTTTGTTTTTTGTTTTTCTTTCTCATGGTTTTTTTTCCCTTTTATTCTGATTCTCCTTTCACAACATGACTAATGTGGAAATATGCTTAATATGATTGTACATGATAGCCTATATCAGATTGCATATTATTTGAGGAAGGAGGAGGAGGAAAATTTAGAACTCAAAATCTTATGAAAGTGAATGTTGTAAACTAAAAATAAATAAATTTAATTTAATTTGAAAAAATCCAGCTTCTTTTGAGCACATATATTTCTTTTGCTTTAGCCCTTATTTTTAGTATTAGAACCAGTGAAACTGCCATTCTGGTGGGAGAATGACAGAGTGAGCCAGCAGCCTGAAACATAAATGCTTACAGGACTACAGGGTTGGAAGCTGTTTTTATGTTTTGTTTTGGTTTTTTTTTTTTTTTTTGGTTTGGGAGATCTATTAAAAGAAGACTATAGCTTATTAGTAGCATATGACTTTGACCTCAACTTAATGAAGGGCTCCGTTAGAGACAAGTTATTATGCATCTAAAATTTTTTTGATGGCCACAGCAAATGAGAAAATGTGAATAAACAATACAGCATAGTCTTAGCAAGTTAGTGGTATATGGAACATTTCATATGACTCACATGTGATAATTTAAGAAGTGCATTTTGAGGGCTGGTATCTAATTTGTGTGTGTTATTTTCAGAACAAGCCTCCATTTCCAAAGGATTGAGGGACCAGACAGTCTCCTTGGGTGCCACAGTACATTTCACATGTACTGTTCATGGAAATCCAACTCCCAGTCTTACCTGGTTTCATAATGCAGAGCCTATATACTCTTCCTTGCGGTACCTGATAGTAGAAAACACGTTGAGAATCAGTGGCGTTGCCATGGAAGACTCAGGATTATACCAGTGTGTGGTGGATAATGGGATTGGATTTATGCAGTCTACTGGGAGACTGGAAATTGAAACAGGTAGGCTCCTAAGTCCTGCCATGATGAAGAAATTTTGCTTTGCAAGATTCGTTGTGTTGTGAAGAAAGCACCTCATCCAAGCAAATCTGATTTCTTATAGGTTGGTTTATTATGCCAAATAGCACAAATTGTTTTGGGGAAAAACTAGGCTACTATTGTGGCTTATGTGACCACAAACTTGAATGTCTTCTCTATACCTCAAATTATATGCCTTCATGTATTCATGTTAGTATGCAGAGAGCCGATCTCTCTTTGTACATATATTACAGATTTGCAGTACTAACTTAGCATTTGATTTAATGCTTTTTAAAGATTTTGTTAAAATTGTCTCAGTTAAATTTTTCATAATCTCTCTCCCTTCATTGCAGAATTGAGAGAGGGGGTATATGCATCTGGAACATTACATATCTTGTCAGACTTGGTTGTTTTGTTGGTTAGCTTTGCTGAACTGCTTTTTCCCCCCTCTTTTTAAAATCTTTGTCATAAGAGATGGCTTGCTGGGTAGGGTAGGAAAGAGGAATTTAGTCAGAAATAAAGGTAAACGGGTAAACAAATGTTATCAATAAAAATTTTAAAGGTTATTGATAAATAGCTCACAGGGTTGTTGCAAGATACCTTTATGTAAAAATTAAATGAAAAATCTTTCATTTTTTTTACTTTAAAGATATCTTATGTAGCAGTGCTACCTCTACTTATGCTGAGAGCACTCAAATTCTGCTTGTTCATTAAATCTGACTTAATCTGTTTTTATCAGTTTATATTCCTTTTGTCCTTTCAATAGTAAGCCTGTCTTTCTTAATGTGTGAAGAAATAAGTGTGAATACATTTCACTTCATCTCTATTTGCTTTTAAAAAATCATTTGGCATTTATAAAATGCCAGCTTGTTTTGTGAGTAGATTATTTTTTTGACTTCTAGAGATATCTTCATCATCTAGTACTTGATGAAGCTTGAAATATAGGTTAAAGCAGATAATGATAAAATTTTAATAAGAAGATTTTTCCCTTCTAGCCACAAATGTGTGTCTTCTACATTCCTCAAATTATATGCTGCCATGTATCATGATCGTATATAATCGGACAGTCTCTTTGTAATTATGTTACACGTTTTCAAACCTCAGTTTAGATTTTAGCTTAGTGCCTCAAAGAATTAGGTTTTTGATTACCTACCTCCTCTAATAAAGGTCCTAAATATGAGACTTCTCCTTAGTAGGATAAACAAATATAATAAGAAATTCCTTTTAATCTTCTGGGAAAACTGAAAAAGAGTATGGCAGAAACTAGGCATAGACCAAAATCTTATACCATATACCAAAATAAAGTCAAAATGGGACATGATTTAGATGTAAAGGCCAATACTGTAAGCAAACTGGGAGAGCAAAGAATAGTTTACTTGCCAGATTTATGGAGAACAGAAGAATTTATGACCAAACAAGAGATAAAGAACATTATGAAATGCAAAATGGATAATTTTGATTATATTAAATTGAAAAGTTTTTGCACAAGCAAAGCCAGTGCAACCAAGATTAGGAGGGAAGCAGAAAACTGGAAGAGAATTTTTACAACTGGTGTCTCTGATAAGGGCTTAATTTCTAAAATATATAGAGAACTGAGTCAAATTTATAAGAATGCAAGTCATTCCCCAATTGATAAATGGTCAAAGGATATGAATAGGCAGTTTTTACATGAAGAAATTAAAGCTATCAATAGTCGTATGAAAAAATGCTCCAAATAACTATTAATTAGATAAATGTAAATCAAAACAACTGTGAGGTATCACATCATACCTATCAGATTGGCCAACATGACAAAACAGGAAAATGATAAATGTTGGAGAAGACGTGGGGCAGTTGGAACATCGATGCATTGTTGATGGAGTTGTGAACTGATCCAAGCATTTTGGAGAGCAATTTGGAACTATGCCCAAAGGACTATAAAAATGTGCATATCTTTTGACCCAGCAATAGCACTTCTAGGGCTGTAACCCAAAGAGATCATAAAAAATGGGAAAAGGACCCACATGTACAAAAATATTTATAGCAGCTCTTTTTGTGGTGGCAAAGAATTGGAAATTGAGGGGATGCCCATCAATTGGGGAATGGCTGAACAAGTTGTGATATATGAATGTAATGGAATACTATTGTGCTGTAAGAAATGATGAGCAGGCAGACTTCAGAAAAATCTGGAAAGACTTGTATGGACCGATGCTGAGTGAAGAAAGCAGAACCAGTAGAACATTGTACAGAATAACAGCCACATTGTGTGATGACTAACTTTATAGACTTAGCTCTTCTCACCATTGCAAAGATCTAAGACATCTGCAAAAGTCTCATGATGCTGTCCACATCCAGACAAAGAACTATGGAGTTGGAATGCAGATTGAAGCATACTATTTGCCCTTTTTTTCTTCTGTTTTGTTTTGTTTCTTCTTTCTTGTAGTTCCTCCTATTGTTTCTAATTCTTCTTTACACTATGATTAATGTGAAAATATGTTTAATAGGAATGTATATGTAGAGCTTATATCAGATTGCACACCCTCTTAGGGAGGGGAGTAAAGAGGGAGGGAGAGAAAATTGAAAACTCAAAAGCTTATGGAAGTGAATGTTGAAAACTAAAAATAAATTAATTTTTAAAAAACTTCCCTTTAAAGATATATAGCTATTATTGTAAAACTTCTTTTCTATATCTGTTTTACTAAAAGAAGCTAATAAAACAACAGGAGAAGATCCTTCTTTTCCTGCTTCTTCAGAGATGACTTCTGATCAAGCTGTGGTGTTAAGAAAAAGTGTCCATTTGGGAAACCCGTCAGAGACTGCCACACTTAAAGAAGTTATGATTCTTTTCTATTTTGTGATAAACTCATTCTAGGTATTTTAAATACATTTCCATAGCTGAAATCACAGAGGACCTTTCATTGTGCAGGTTATCCTGGGGGCTATAGAAAAAAAGAGGAAAGGCAGAAGAACCACATAGAGCATTGGATTGACCACAGAATTTAAACTTGAAAGGGACAAGGTAGAAGGAGAAAGATGTAGTGGGGAAATAACATCAATGTTAATCAGTGTTTTATTGTGAATTCACTTTGAAAAAGTCCTTAGTGTCACTTCAGAAGTTGAGGTAGAATTGGAGGCCTAGGAGCAAAAGAGAAATACCATAAAATGATTCAGGAGACAGAGTTACTTTGGAATTAAGATAAAGAACATCTTCATATGTTTTATAGATTTTCATTACTGTGTAATACAAAGTGGTCACATTTTTTGTCATAATACATTTTATTTTGGCTAGTTCAACTCTGTCTGTGATTTGATTGATGAATTTTAGATTAAAAATGTGATCACTTTCCTGAAGGAATCACATTTGATTCTATATTTCTCACAGAATATATCACATTTAATGTGTGAGATTTTGGTGTCAGATGTATATATTCCCATATTCCATATTTACAGTAGTCAAATATGTTTCTAGTATGCCTGCCTGCTGGAAAGCTATCAGTACATTATCCATATTTCCTTCTTTCTGAAGGTCAGGAAATCTGCATAGGAAATGTCTAGGAGCTTAACTATGAAAAGGGCTATCTTTAATGGGCATTTTACTTATGTGGGGGATATAGCTATTAGCATTACTTTTCTCTAGGATTTGATAGTATTTTAAAATTCTGTATTTGGATTGCATTTTAATAGGCAGTGGATTCAAGCCGATTATAGTAACACCACCAACAAGCACAAAGGTGATAGGCGGTGACTTTGTTACTTTATCCTGCAATGCCACTGGGCTTCCAGTTCCTGTTATTCGTTGGTATGACAGCCATGGTTTGATAACCAGCCATCCATCCCAAGTACTTCGCTCTAAGCCACGAAAATCACACCTGTCAAAATCTGGAGATGTCACTTTAGAGCCTGTTTACTTCATCATGTCTCGAGCTGGATCAAGCTCTTTATATATTCAGGCTGTCACTCTGGCACATGCTGGGAAATATACCTGTGAAGCCACAAATGAATATGGTTCTACATTGTCAGAGGCGTTCCTTACAGTTGGTGAGTTGCCATGACATTTGTTTTTTATTTGATGCTTTTTTTTTTTTTGGAAAGGAGGAGGATGTTATAAGATAACATACTTTAACTAGTCAAGCAATCTTTAAACAATAATATGCATGCTTATGAATATTTTGTGGCATCAGGATGCCATCTTTTCAGACTAAGGTGGTATCTAGATTGGTATTGCTTAGTTCTTGGACCAATAGAAAATAGTTTGGCTTCAATCTCTATTTTTGACATATTGGCATACAGAAATCTGATTCACATTGAGCCCAAGACTATGGTAAAATAATATGTTTTATGAAGCTTGAAGGACAGTTGAAATAGTTAGAAAGGTATATAAGTCAATCTTAGGAATATACTTCTCACCAGCCAATTCTTGTTAAAGTCTAGAGGGTTAACAGGTTATTTCGTAACCATCAGCTGAGATCTTATCAGATAATACCTAAGGTGTTCTTTCTGGCACAAATTAGGGCTTGCTAAATACTTGTTAATGTTATTGATTATACAAAATTATTACATCAAGGGATTATTATCCCTCTTTTCTTTATCATTCTTTGGTGTGAGTCACTTTAGAACCTTCTATTATTATTAAAGTATTGATAAACAGATAAATAGAAGATTAAAGGACTTAATTCAGATTCAAAGTTACTCAGTTTGGGGTTTTGAACACCAGGTGTCTAATAGCTAGATCTCATCACCATATTTGTCAGATTGCACGGATATTAAGCAGTTTGGCACAAGAGAGATGGTAAAATTTACTGAGATACCTAGTGTTGGTTATAAACTTAACTTTGGGACCTCTAAGCAAAACTTTCAGTATTAACTCATTTGGTTCTAGGTTGCAGAATAATGAGATTGTTGAGAAGGTTTAGCTTAAATGCTCATAGAACATGTATAGTGTTCCTCTCTTTAAGAGGAATTCTCTGGTGCACATGGAAGAGGCAACAACAACATGATAAAAATAAATCACTTGATATACCAGCTACACTTTGGTTGTCCTGCACACCTAGAAAGATATGCCATCTCCACTCCAACTACTGACTTCTCTGGCTACCTTTAAGTCCCAACTAAAATCTCACCTTCTACAGGAAGCCTTCCTCAGCCCCTCTTAATTCTAGAACCTTACATCTATTAATTATTTTCTCTTTAACCTGTATATAGCTTGTTTTGCGTATGTTTGTTTGCATGTTATCTCCCCCATTAGGGATGTTACAGACATATAAAGAGATCATTTAGCTACATGAAAAGGAAGTGAAGTTAGTAGAACTGACATTCACAAGCTTCTTGAAGGCAAGGCCTAGTTTTTGCCCTTTTTGTATCCACTATACTTAACACAGTGCCCAGCACATAGTAGGCATTAAATAAATATTGATTGATTGATACATAAGATTTGTTGTTTCTCTTTGACTCCCTCCCTTTAATTCTTCTGGTAATAACTAGTAGCAGGTAGTGTAATCTCAGTTGTTAGGATCAAGAGTATCTGAAGCTTTAGTGACAGCAGCTAACTAAAACAACAAGTTCAGTTGAGTAGAAGTTGCTAACGATAGTTAGGAGACAGCCAAGAGGAAGTGCTGCTAGGGATGTTACAGACATATAAAGAGATCATTTAGCGACATAAAAAGGAAGTGAAGTTAGTAGAACTGACATTCACAAGGTAAGAAATAATTTAATAATTAATTCCAAGCAAATTATTCTCAAAGTATAATCGAAGTGCTGACTAGATCAGTATCTAAGTGGTAAACCCAAAGGGTGTAGGAGACCATTAGCAGTTCTTGATACTTTGCTAAAGTATGCAGGGAGGTGAAAAGTAGGTGACAGACCAAAGAGAAAAGGTTGGTGATGATGATTTTATATGGCAGCTGATTTGCAAAAAGCTTGGAAAGAAACGCTCCAGCATGGTAAAACTTGACCAGGGACAGCACAGGTGCTTGGAATCCCTTGAAAGTTATGTCAAATGTCAACAACAGAGCAGCTTCTGTCTGGAGCTACATTTTAGGAGAAAAGAGCAGAAGTAGCAACATGGTTTCTTTTCTACATTGAAATCAGGTTTGTGGCAAGACTGCAAGATTTTAGTAGATAATCTGGAAAGAAAAGGATTGATAGCATAAGGTCAGTTCTATTTGAGATAGAAAAAGTATGCCTCAAGATTTCTCCACCGAAGAAGATGAGAAATTAATTTTTAAAACTGAGTTAGGAAGCAATCTAAGTTCATGGACACAAGTTAGGAATATTGTTTTTGGAACAACTATGTTTATGTAGTGAGTCAGAAGGTAGACTAGTGGTTATGAGTGTGAGTTAGTGTAGGAAACTAGACTTTAGCCAGGAGAGATAATTAGCTGTGGCTTAGGGTGGTGAGGAGGGAGAGAACCTTTTACCATTACTATTTTCGGTGATCCTTTGGGTAGTCCACCACTGGGAAGTGGTTTTCAGTGTCAGGGTAAAACATCACATCTCAGTGGCATGGGAAAATTTTGAATGCTACAGTGCCCAACTTCATGAGTGTTAAATTTCAACTCTTATTTGCTATAAATTTATCTTTGTTATTCAAGACTTAGTAAGACTTTCTTCTAAACCTTATTAAAAGATAATTCAGTTTAGCTTTTCATCTTTTAATATGAACTGAGTAGCCGTAATATAATAGGTGTTATATATACCATCACCTTGCATCTAAATCTTTTATAGTACTTTTTCAAGTGTTTACACATATGTTCTCATTTTATCTTAAAAACAATTCTCAAGTGGGTAGGACAGGCATTCATGTTTTACAGAGGTGGAAAATATGGTCAAGTGATTATTAGCATGAATATTAAACTATTTATCGAAGTGGCAGCATGAAATAGTAATAGTTGGAGAACTAAAATAAAATTTGATATTGTCACATGATAATGACCCAAGTTACATATTTGACCTATACTTCAGTTTTCTTAGTATAAAAGAGCATAAGTGCTATTTACCCTTTATCTTCCTCGTGAGGGAATCAGGAAGATAAACAATGCTGTAAAGAACTGGAGTGTCTCAAAAGGAAAATATTGAAGTTTTACTGTTAACTGGCTCAACATACAACATATACAAAACAAATACTCTGTTGATTTCTTGAATGGAAGGTCCTCGTCCAGCTTTCTTTCTAAACCTTAAGAATTAGCTATGTTTGAGAGAAATAAATAGAAGTTTAAAACTAAAAGGCCATTAAGTAGACTTAATAAAAGGACTTTGGGAACCACTATTTGAAGTGACAGTCCTTTAAGAAGGGAAGAATCAAGAAAACATGAGAGATGATTGACACTGACAATGCTGTTTTCAAAGACAAAGAATTTTTAGAAGGTTCTTTGAGAAAACATTCCTTAAAGTTATGATTTGTTTCATATTTGAAATTTAAGTACAATCTGAGCAGCATAATCATGTGTAGCCTCTTCTTTTATGTACCCATGTAAATTCAGGAAAGTTTATTTTACATATTTCTGCTGCTGCATTTCAGTTTTTTAGGAGCTTTCTTTCTAGATTACTCCCTAAGGAAGAAGGACAAAAATATCTCAACTTTAAACTACAGAAATGCTCATTCCTAATTTTTTAGAAGTAACATATTCAGGGTATTTTTCTCATTTGTTTGCTTATTTTAATAAATACAAAGAGAGACTCTAAACTGATGTCATCAAATACCCTTTATCCATATTAATCGCAAACCTGTGACAGCCTACAGAAAAATATTGGTTTCATCTACTTCTATGCCTATACTTCTATTCTTCCCAGGCTTTCCTTGTTCTCAGAAGAAACTCAGAAACCAGATGAGCAAATTCCAAAATTTTGGAAGATTATTTGGCATTCAGATGTTGCCTGTTTTAATGCTGTCTTCTCAGATTGCAGTAATATTTGCAGAGTAGCTAATAAAAAATGCATTTCTGATTGGGTAGCACACATTGAAGTTACAAATTTTGATTAAAATCTCTCTTACCATAGCCTCCTTTCTTGCTTTCTATGATTTTTCTGCAGTTCCTTTTGAAACAAGCACCAAAGCTGAAACAGTTACACCTATTGAAGCCGCACAGAGTGATGGACATAAAAAGGGTGATTCTGTAACAGGGCCTTTGAACATTTTTCCAGTGAAGTTACATTCCAACACAACAGAGGCATCAATAGAAAGAAATACCAGTAGTTTCTCTGCTCCTGATGCCCCCATCATACTGAGCCCCCCACAGACCCACAAACCAGATGCTTACAACCTGATCTGGAGATCAGGGAAAGATGGTGGACTACCCATCAATGCCTATTTTGTGAAATATCGAAAGGTAATGGTTTGTTTATCATTTCTCAGATGTTTTTTTCTTTATCGTACCACCTTTCAGAATAACTTATAGAACACAGATATGTTCTCCTTGACACTAGTTTAAGAAAAAGAAGTAAGAGCTAGATTGGAAACACCCCCAAGTGATGAGATGGTAGGAAAATTGAGGACAGGGAAATGCCAATTAACATTAGAACTGAAAACTAGTTTCTGGGAGTCATCCCTCAACAAGCATTCATCAGGTGCTTACTTCGTACCAGGTATAGTGCTAAGTACTTTGAATGAACTGTACCCTCAAAGAACTTACTTGATAAACATACCCTGGACATAAGTATAATACATATGGAACATATACAAAGCAAGAGCAAGATCGTTTTGGGTGGGGAGAGGCACTAGCACCTAGCCTAATCAGTAAAAGCTTGTAGAATGTAGCATTTGAGCCTTGAAGGAAATCTTGAAGGAAGCCAGGGATTCTAAGAGGTTGAGTTGAGGAAAGAGAATGTTCCAGGAATGGGGAGCAAAGACATGGAGACAGGATATCAGTGATGTATAAGGAATCACAAGGAGGTCAGTATGGCTGGACCATATATTGTTTGGAAGGGAGAGTAATGTACAAGATGTACAGGAAGAATGGAAAGGTAAGAAAGGACTGGCCAGTTTCCGAAGAGCTTTTAAATTCCAAATAGAGGGGTTTGTATTTGGTCCTGGAGGTAATAGGAAGACTTACCTGGAGCTTACTGAGTAGGCATGTGAAATGGTTAGACCTGTCCTTTAGGAAAATCCCTTTGGAGGTTGTGTGAAGGATGGATTGGAGTAGAGATAGACTTAAGGGAGATTGTGAGCCTGGATAACTAAAATGATGGTGGTAATAGAAAAGTTTGGAAGAAGGGTAGATTGGAGAAGGGAGAAGGAGATAAGAATTCTGTTTTGGATAGGTTGAGTTTGAGGTATTTGCAGGAGGTCCATTTCAAAATTCCCAGTAGGTCATTGGGAACTAGAGCTTAGGAGAGATTCTAAGGTTTGATCTATAAATCTGAAGTCATCAGCTAATAATGGATGATAATTGAATCCATGAGAACTGATGGTTACCAAGTAAGAGATTGTAGAAAGAAAAATAGGAACCTAGAATCTTAGAGAACACTCAGTTAGTGGGAGTGACATGGATGATGTTCTAGCAAAGGAGACTGGAGAATTGGGCCCTTCTCAGTTGGATTTTGGTAATGTTTTTATCTGAGAGTCATGCATTAGAATGAAATGAAAAATTTTCTTCTGTTTTGAGGGACAAGCAAGTTCCCAGACAAATAAGTGATATTGAAAAAAAAGAAAACCATTTTTACTGAGTTGAATGTTTGAGCCATATCTCTTGATTAGTCACTGGAGTAATCTATATTTAAGTAGTACTTTTTGAAGCACTTTGTAAATTTTAAAGTGCTATAAAAATGTGGGGTATTGTTATTCATAATATGGCTAATAAGAATAATAGTAATAAGCTAGTATGCGTAGCTGGTTATACTCACATCTGAAAGCCTTATTCTCTGTTTCTAATTTGAGTAAGTTTAATAATTCTGGAAAAAATAGTTAATTCAGTTGGTAGAAGCTTCCATCACACAAATCTCCTTGTGGTTAATTATAATTCAATAGAGGACCAAACTTACTGTATCTCCTTTCTCGTTTATCCTTTCTACATAGTATGAAGTAGGTTTTTGTCTCCCCTCTCTGCAGATGCTTTACCAAATGCCACATCCCTTCTGGAACTTGTTGAGATCCAGTTCTGATCTCAAGTGCTTAGTACTGACTGAAATGAGAGGGAAGATGATCCTTCTGTTCTGGACTCCCCCATCTCTCCCTCTCTCTCCACCATCCTCACTCCTCTTACCTGGACACTGTTTTCACCTTTGATTTTCCTCATATACAGCTCGATGATGGAGTTGGTTTAGTGGGAAACTGGCATACAGTTAGAGTTCCTGGAAGTGAGAATGAACTCCACCTAACAGAATTGGAACCCTCCAGTCTTTATGAAGTCTTGATGGTAGCAAGAAGTGCAGCAGGTGAAGGACAGCCTGCCATGCTTACCTTCCGAACTAGCAAAGGTAATAGGGCTGGTCTCTGCTATTAGAAGAATGGAGTAACTAGATGTTATTTTATTAGCAATTAGCTGTCTGTGTGGCATGATACTTACATAGGAGGCCTCTATCGTGGGATAGTTTTCCCCCATATGAAAATTTTTATTTGTTGTAGTATAGCAGCATGATAGAGAGGTGGCTTTTGAGGAAGGATAAGTTGTGTGTGTATACATGTATGTATCAGAACATATCAGAACTTTGTAATGAATTTCATTACAAAGCAAGTGATCCCTAATAATTAATTTTGGATTTTGACCTACATACTACTTAGTACCAATAAAATTTTTAGTTGTTAAAATAACTAATTTCATTTTTTCAAATATTGAAATTTCGGCGTCTTGCTCAAGAGGACATTTATCAGAGGCTATTCGGTAACAAATTTTGATTTGTAGAATTAAAAGGCTTATTCTGTGAAAACAAAACTGAATTAGTAGTGAGACTTAGTCATGAGCCTTCATTGAATGGGTCACTATGTGACTTAGTTATTGCATGTTATTTTTTCCAACTATAAAATAAGGTTATTTTGTGGATTATTGATCATAAAATCAGAGATTGAGAGTTGAAAGGAACCTTAGACCCCATCTAATTCAACTCCTCATTTTGCAGGTAAGGAAACTGAGTCCCAGAGGAGTTAAATAACTTGCCCAAGGTTATATGAGTAGTAAGTGGTAGGAGGCATGTTAACTTTTTTTTGGTTATTACTAGAGAACCTCAAAACTACCCAAATATTTATACTGTGTATGTCAAAATAAAATTCCATGAGCTAAAAATTAAAATTAATTAAAACTATACATTTAGTAAAAGATAAAAATTTGTATACACATAATTCACTTGGAATTTTCCATAATTTCTTTCTTTGAGCTCATGATATTTTTCATAAACTTGATAGAGAGAACATCATCATCAAAAAACACACAGGCCTCCTCGCCACCAGTGGGCATCCCTAAACATCCTGTTGTTTCAGAGGGGACCAACAGCAACTTTGGAGTGGTGCTCACAGATCCCTCCAGGCATAGTGGAGGTAAAAAATTATATTTTTTAATATTTCTATTCATTTTATATCATAATAAGGTGAGCTGTCTTATTAACTCTTATTAAGTTATCCTCTTATTAAGGACATATTAAGTCCTGTTTTTTCCTTTGGGTTATTACATTGTTGTACGCAATTGTTAGCAATTCTTTGTCTTGTGTAGTGTTCAAATGAATTCACGTATTAAAAATCTCAAAGGTCATCCAATTTTCAAAACTTATAGGAACAGATTTTATGGTTATTATTTGGAAAAGGGAAAAACATTTGGAAATTGGTGATTTGAATCCAGTTCATATGGTAAATGGTCATCTTAATTCCTCTATTCTTTTCCTTTCAGAGATGTGTTCTTAATTGTTGTCTTTGGAGTATTTTCTCTAGTATGATAGAATTTAGCATTTGCTTTAAGACATCCCATGTTTGAGACTATCCCTGTTAAAAAATCAGTGAATGCCCCATCTAGTCTTGTGTTTTTTAGCAGTCTTCGACACCAAGATTCAATAAGGTTTCTTAGTTCTTGCAATTTAGTTTTTATGCTCACCAGCCCCACATTGAAATGTTATTTGTGTTTGTTGTGTTGCCTCTTATGTCATGAATCCTGTGAGAGGCATCAGATTTCTTTACTTAACCTATGCAAGTTTGCAAACGTTTCATCTGTGTTCTTTCTAGTCTTCTGTGGACTGATTGTACCTACAGTATGTAAACCTTCACAATTTTGACTCTGCCCTCTAGAATTTAACTGCTTCTCTTGTAACAAGTTTCTCTCTGTTAATTTGCTGTTACTTTTGGCACAATAACCTTCTGAAAGGCTTTAGCTGTCTGAAAAGCTTTCCTATATATCCATACCTAAGAAGAATTCTCTATATTCAAAGCTATCATCTGAATATATTCTGTCCTGTCTTGTTTATTCAAATGTAGTCTTTAGGCCTCTTTGGGCATGGTATTGTTAAAATCTATTTTTGCTTTGTATTTTCTTTAACAGTTGCTTATCTGTTTTGTGGTTGTTCCTAGATAGGATTTAGTCATATATATATTAATATAATGAAAGTCACATGTTTACTCTAAAGTATCAAACTTACTAACAGAGTTTTATTCATTTTCTGTTCCCATTGCTTTCTAATTTGAAGTGAGTCCAGTAAGTATTGATGAAATTTGCCTGCTTGCTTTTGTTCTTTTTTCATACTTTAAGCAATTTATGGAGTAAGTGGATACTCTATAAGTATCCACATGTTAAGATGGAATAATTCTCAAGAAAATGTTAAAATATATCATTTTGTGGTTTTTACCAGTACGTGTGTTTTCTTAGAATATCACCTTTGTATATCTGTAGGATGCTCTGTTAAGTCAGCAGATTTGTCTGCACAGAACTATGGTACTGGGTGGTCTAATAGAGAAATTTATTCATTGTATACTTGTTTTTAGATAAATTAAGGGAAATAATATATTTAATGACTTATGTTCTAAATTACCACCATTTGACATTAGGAGCCAACTAGAAATTGCTGAATTTTAGCATTTTTTGTCCATAAACCCAAAATAACATGGTCGTAATGATTATACCCTATCAGTTTTCCATTTATCAGAGAATACTTAGTCTAGTTTATAAACAATTCATGACCTCTGATTCTTCTGTCATTTCCTGCCTTTTAAGCTTTTAATTTCTTATTAGTAGCTTGAATAGAGGGCAGGAAAGGAAGCAAGGTGAAACTTGTCAATTTTACCATTGGTTGACAAACTGTAATAAAAGATTTGATGGGAATAGAGGTTCAAAGTATTGAATAAAATGAGTTTTCTGGCTTATTTACACTATTCAGACCACCTTGGTTCCTATTACTATGATTGTTCAAAAGTTGTTTGGCAATATATTTTCTTTTCTAGTTCCAGAAGCACCAGATCGACCTACTATCTCTACTGCCTCAGAGACTTCTGTGTATGTCACTTGGATTCCTCGGGCAAATGGAGGTTCTCCCATCACTGCCTTCAAGGTTGAGTATAAAAGGATGAAGAGTAGTGATTGGCTAGTGGCAGCTGAAGATATCCCTCCTTCCAAACTTTCTGTGGAAGTGCGTAGCTTAGAACCAGGTACTTTTACCTAGACATCTCTGTTCACATTAGTCTTTTATATAATTTTGGATTTGGGATGCATATTTTTAACAGAAAAAAATGGAATTTCCTTTGACTGAAATTGCCTGATTCTGATGATGGTACACACTCTGTTAATTCCAGTTAATGTTTGGTCCCATGGAAACTTATAAGCTATGTTTAGCACCTTTGTCCTTTTTTAAAGCTCACTTTAGAACATTACCTGCCTGTCCTAAGGCTGTCTAAAAGAAACCAGGCAAACCTAGAGTAAATAAGGCAGTAGCCTAAGGAAACTTTTTTTTAATATTTAATGATAAATTATACTTTATCTTATGTTATCTGCTCATGACTTGCTAAGCTGTGTGTTCTTCCAAAAGGCTCCACGTACAAATTTAGAGTAATTGCCATCAACCATTATGGTGAGAGTTTTCGGAGCTCTGCATCTCGCCCTTATCAAGTAGCTGGATTTCCCAACCGCTTTTCCAACCGTCCTGTTGCTGGACCTCACATCACATATACAGAAGCTGTCAGTGATACTCAGATTATGTTGAAATGGACGGTGAGTAGCAGCATCTTCTCTTTAGCAAATTTTCCATTCTGCTTGCAGTTCTAGTCAGATAGCCTTATGATACCTCTATTGTGGATAAAGAGGCCTTTGAATTTTTTGTTGAGGGGAAACTGAGGCATAGTGCTTATAAGTAGCTTTTTAAAATCATATGGTAGAACTATGGCAGTACTGAAAATGAAATGACTTTCTCTTTGGCTCCCTTCCAAGTGCTCTGTTCACTACAATTTCATGGTTTAATAATTTGGAACCAGATGTACTTTTATGTTGTTGCTATTGAGATTAGCAGAGTGAATTGTTTTATTTTGCTTGTTATTTCAATCCTGCAGTAGGCTAAACAGACTTCTTTTTTTTCCATTTTAATCTAAAGTACAATTTTGGTGTTAGGAAGATAAATCCAGAAAGACATCACAGTGAGTGAAAATGAAATTCCATAAGTATGGAACTTTTTTCATCTTTGATGAGTCTTTCCCTCTGTTTTTCAGTACATTCCTTCAAGCAACAATAACACACCTATCCAAGGATTCTATATCTATTACCGACCCACAGATAGTGATAATGACAGTGATTACAAGAGGGATGTTGTAGAAGGTAAGTCCTTTTAAAGAGTTTTAAGGGGATTGTGGAGATGGGAGATGTAGAACTAAGAAATATGAAAGCAGTGTTTTTTCCTTGTGATTACAGTTAAACTCGGTCTGTTAAAGTGTTCCTAAGAGAGAAAGAAGTATAAGGGTGCTCTTTTCTGGTTTTGAGGTGGATTGACTTTCTGTTCACAACTTATCAGTTTATTTTTGAATGTTAGAGGCTATTATTTCTCATTAGGATATGCTGGCACTTTAAAAGAGGAATTTAAATTCTACCAGTGAAATTTAGGTGCAAAAGCATAAATTTATTACTATTAAATCCCTAATTGTGTTCTATTAACCCATGAAACACAGTAGTGCATAGGAGTCAACGTAGGAATGTTGCCTTGCTTACATAAGACACAGCAACCAATAGGACATCAGCCAGCTTCTCTTTCTAAACATCGTCTTTCCATTGTGTCCCGTCATAAACCTGTTGTTGATCCTTCATTTTTCTGCTCTCTACTTAGAATCAACCTGAGGTCAATGAGAAATGTTTCTTAAATGAGAAAAATAAATGTTTTGATCTTTTTTTTTTCAACAGCATGGAATCTAGCCATCTTCAATGAGATGGTAACTGAGTCATTGTCATGTAATTTCTTCCAGCAAATTGAAACTATCAAATTTAACTGGGATAAATGTTAATTAAGTCTTACATTTAGACACTAAAAAAGGATAGAAGAGACACATTGATAAATTCATGTAAAAAAGACCTGGCATGAGTGGTCTTGGTTAATCCTAAATCCATTTTCAGCCAAGAGTATGATGCCCCTGCTCAAAAGAAAACAAGACACTGATGCTGAATTTAGCTATATTAAAAGCTATTAAATTTCCATATTGAGAGAGATGTGATAGTATCACTGAGCCTTTACTTCATTGGTCTTATTGTAATTGGAATGTGCGTTCAGTCTTAGATGCCAAATTTATGAGAGATATTAAATTAGTATTAGAATGTTAGAAATGGACTAGAACTTAGCAATCATATAGGGACTCCTTTTCTCTCTCTCTCTCTCTCTCTCTCTCTCTCTCTCTCTCTCTCTCTCTCTCTCTCACTCTTGCTCGCTCACTCTCAACAGATGAGGAAAATTGGGCCTAGAAAAGGACAGTGATTTGGGGTCAAAGTCATACACATCACTAGTAAGTGGCAGGGCACTTGGAGAGGGGCCTTGATGGCAGAGATTTTGGATGTCATTTGAGGAACAGGTCAAGAAACTAGGAAAAAGCAGCTTGGAAAAGATGACTAGAAAATATAATAGGTCTCTTTGGATGTTTGAAAGGTTTTGTGGAAAAACAAGTATGTGTTTCAGAGGGTAAAACAAGTAATTTAGAACGAGATAGTTTTCAGCTCAAAATAATAGCATTTAGAAATGATTAGCAATGGGGAATGAATTATCTTTCCCCCCCCCAACTACATGTGAAAACAGTTTTTAACATTCATTTTTTTAAAATTTGAGTTTTAAATTCTCTCTCTTCCTCCCCCCTCATGGAGAAGGCAAGGAATTTTATATAGGTTATATCTGTGCAGTCATACAAAACGTATTTCCATGTTAGGTTGTGAAAGAAAATACAGACCAAAAAAAAAAAAAGTAAAATATAGTATGCTTTGATCTACGTTCAGACTCCATCTTTCACTGGAGGTGGATAGCATTTTTCATCATAAGTCCTTTGGAATTGTCTTGCGTCTTTGTATTGCTGAAAATAATTAAATCATTCACAGTTGATCATTGTATAATATTGCTGTTACTGTGTATCATAATCTCCTGGTTCTGCTCACTTTGCATCAGTTCATGTAAGTCTTTCTGGGTTTTTCTGAAGATATCCTGATCATTGTTTCTTGTATCACAACTTGCTCAGCCAGGGAATGGATTGTCTTGCACAGGAGTAAACTTTCTGTCACTGGTAGTGTTCTTTTTATGGATGTACATCTGTCTGTCAGGCAAATTTTAGGAGATATTCTAGCATTGGGAAGATTGGCTGATGTGACCTCTGAAGTCTCTCCTGATGGATTCTGTGACATGTTAACTGTCCTAATAGATGGATCATGTCAGAAAATTTTCCTGAAGAAAAAAATTTTTTTCAGATGACTTCTTAACATCAAACCATTCCACTTCTGTTTACAAAAAAAAAAAACCTCCCCACATAATCTAGTTCTCAAGAGCTGTCAGCTACTTACTCTGCTCCCATTAAGTGGGATGTATCAACTTTCTGGATATTTTAACAATCATTTCGATTTTTATCAAGCAAATTAATTCTCCTTCATTCAGATAAACCAGTTAATCCTTTTTCTGAGCTCTGAATATAGTGAATTAGTTCACCCTCTTGAGTCTGAAATAACCGTAGAAGAAGTTGTTTTCCTAAAGTCTGTTTTAAATAAAAGGAAACCAAGAGTTTCTAATGCTGAAAAAATACTTATGCTATTGACTGCTCCTGTATGCTTAGTTCAACTGGGACTTTGAATTTTTGCAGTCTTCCACATCGTGAATGTTGTCTGTAAGTGTGTTATTTTTGCCTTATGGTACACAGAAATTGTTTACAAATGAAAGCCGCTGAACAGTTAGATGTTTTGAGTAGGCTCGAGTGTGCTGTGAAATTTTTGCTTATTTCTGATTTTCAAGTTTATGCATTTGGAATTCTTTTTGTGGCACTTGGAAAACATTAGAGTCTGCTTAGTGTTCTTGGGACTGGGAACTAAAGTGCCCTTCCCCCTTAGGTAAAGCTTTCTTTGAAATTAAGCTTTAAGTCACTGATGTTCTTTTAATCTAAAATTGTTCAGACATTTGGAGAAAATTTAAAATTCAGTTGATTTTTAAAGCCTGCTATAGGAGAACAACAATTAAATTCATTAAATTGTCCCCTCTTCCTGGCTAAGCTCTACATTTAAAACTGAAATTGCTTTCTAGAGTACTAGGGTGTTTTAAAAATTTTTTGATGGGGTGGGGCAGATGTTTATTTTTATCTTGCCTGATTCATTTAAGTACTAAATAAATCAAAGCATAAATCATTCTGAACCATGTGCTTAGTTCTTTCCTTTCTCTTGTAAATCCTTAACTTTTATAAGTTTTTCCTAACAAAGAATCTTTTTTTCACAAATGCTGTGCTAGTTGGAATCAAACCAGTTAATGCATTTATTTGTTTTGCAGTTCTCTAATATTAAAGAAGAGAATCTGTCTCATGCTTATGTGCTGTGGAATTTCAGTTACCAGAGGATTCATAATGACAATTGAATATTAAATTAACATTAAATATAGTGAATGGCTTAAAATTCTTTCTCTAGATAATTCTATGTAGGAAACACAGTTGTATACTAATTCTATTTCCACTAGTGGTGTGAAATAGAAACCTCAAACCTGGTGTGATAATTATTCAGAAGAATGTTTATGGGGAGGTGGGAGTAGGGCCAGGGTCAGAGGCTCTAGAGGGCAGAGAAGAGATGAGGAAGGCTTTGGAAAAATGTTGGCTTTTAGGAATAGGCCAGTTTCCAGCTTCAACCAATATTTAAGTAAATATTCTTTTGAGCCCTCTTACCATTTACAAATGGGGCATAGAATTATTTTTGAATGAACCTTTCAGTCTCTTAATTCTAAAACAAGCAGATCATAATCCTTTTAAAATGTGAATCTCTATGTGTGGAGAGTTTTGTTTGGTGATCTGGTAAGAGAAGTTGTTTCCAGTTTGAAATTTTTTTTTCTCTTGAATTAAAAAGCATCCTGGTCCCTATAAGCTGAGTAGGTTGAGAGAGAGAGAGAGAGAGAGAGAGAGAGAGAGAGAGAGAGAGTGTGTATTTGAGAATGCACACATGAGTGTACTCACCCAATTAATCCTTAAATCAGTAGGTGGTATAGTTGAGTTTCTGAGAAACAGTAGCAACAGTTGGATGAGACATTTTCTGAGAGGGATTAAAAGTACTCAAACAGTTAATTAAACCCACCAAGAAGGGTCTCTATTTATTAAAATTTGTCACAAGTCCATGAAAGTAAAGATGGAGGGTGAGTTATACTGAAGTGCTCAGTTTAGGAGAGTTTCTAAATGAAGAGTTGGCAGTGAGCCAGTGATAACAAAATCATTCTATTAGCCATGCTTATTTGGTTTGGAGTCTCAGACTCAAGAGACTGAAGAGAAACTGGGAGAAAAGAGCCTATCCTTTCCCTTAGTGGCATAATTTATTTGAGCATTATGATTCAAGAGATTGTATTTATTAAGTATCTGTTTGTAGCTCATCTTATGTGTCTGCATCTAATTGAAGATTTGAGGATTTAGTAAGACATCTTTGCTCTCTGTGTAAATTGTCTTAAGGTAAACGACTGATCTCACTTATTTGTATGCTTCCCGGTAGAGAGATAGAGTAGGACCTTTTTTTATATGATTTAAAACTGAAATAAGAGTTCAGAAAAATTAAATATTTACCTGGCCCTGAGACTATCCTATAAGCATTTTTAAAAGTAATGCTAATATTTTCTTAATAGTACTGTGGCAAAACTGCAAAGCTTGGCTTTTCTGTAACCTGAATTCCAAATTTAGGGTCTCTACACCTCTATTTGCTTTCAAAAAGTTAGAAATATTGTTAATTTATTTCTCTGAGATAGCAAGAAAATTATAAAAATCATTTATTAAATGCCTGTCTTTTATGCCCAAGTAGATCTTATACACATTGTGTTAAACTAGCACAGTTCCCAAGAAATATTGAATAAAAAATAATAATACTGTCTTATCACCTAGAGAGTCACAGCAGCTCTCAAAAACCATATGTACAGTCATAGAGGAAGGCATATGATCTTTTCAGTGGAGAGAGTACTCATACTGACAAAAGCATAGATCTTAGAAGTGTTGAGATAAGAAAATATATATTTCCTTTATATCATACGATGTTAGGAAAAACTTCCTAACAATTAGAGCTGTCCAGAAATGGAATGGGCTACCTCAGGAGGTGGTCAGTTACCCACCATTGGAGGATGTTAAACAGAGATTGGTAATGTTGTAGATAGGGTTCGTAATGTGAGTAAGAGTTGTTGAAGCTGATTTTTAAAAAATATCATTTCCTTCGAGGTTCAAAACAGTGGCATATGATTGGTCACCTGCAGCCGGAAACATCTTATGACATTAAGATGCAATGCTATAATGAAGGGGGAGAAAGTGAATTCAGCAATGTGATGATCTGTGAAACCAAAGGTGGGTAAGGTGGAGGGGGTTTTGTGCTTTTCTCTGAGGCAGTTAAACTTCCCAGTGTTAGAATCACTAACCCATGACCTTCTAGTAGCGAGGTGTGGCAAGAAAAACATTGGTTTTGGAGTCAGAAGACTGGAATTGGAGTCCTGCCTTTGATGTTTACTTTGTGGTCCTGTACATGTCACTTCATTTTGCCTCAGTTTCCTCATCCATAAAATGAGGATACTAATATGTGACCTGCCTTATGTGATTGTTATAAGGAAAGTGCTGTTGTAAACTTTAAAACGCTCTAAATTCAAGTTGTTGGAAGTACCCATTAGTGTCACCTTGGCCTTTTCAGCTCTGCCTTTGCATAGAAATTCAGTGCCAAATAGCACCTTCTTCTAAAACAAAGGCTAATAATAATGCACAAATACCTTGAACCCATGGTAAAAAAAAATGCATACATAGCTTTTGAGATCTCTGTTTAGTTGCTTGGTATATATCAAGTTTTTGTTGAATGTAGAGCACTATATTAGTCACTAAGGGAGATTAAAGAGAAATTCTTTCTCAGGAAACTTGTAGTTTCCATTAGAGAAACAAAAGATGATAATGGCATAAGAATAGTGATGGTATAATATGTCAGCAAGTATAGAATACACAGTAACACCTCATTTATCTAGCAACATCAGGCAATGAAGAGATTGATTTAACTATATTTTGATAGTTGACGTTACCCCTTTAAACACTCAAACTTTTCTAAATTTAGCTTTGAATGAAAATATTTTTTCCTCAAAAGTTTTCTTTCATGATTTATGAAGATATTTCTTAGAATATCACGCACTTCCTTGCCCTCCTAAACATGGGAAACGACTTAACCGTTTCTGCTTGTTTGATGCCTTCATTATGGATACCCAGTATCACACTTCACTATAATACAGTTATGCCCCACCAGAGGCTGTCGCAGTTTCGTGTGGAGAGCGCCAAACTTGGAATCAGAGATCTGGAGTCCAGTCCAGCCTCTGACACCTCATTAGCTTTGTGACCACAGACAAGTCACTGGCCTATTACTGTGGGTATTCCTTTCAGGTATGTGTTGGACTAGATGGCCTCTTGTATTTCTTAAATTCTGTGAAATTCTCAGTTTCCTCATCTGCAAAATGAGGATAAAAGTATTTGTAGCATCTAACTCACAGTATAGTTGTGAGGATCAAATTAGATGTGAAGGGCTTTGCAAGCCTTAAACCACTATCTGAATGCTTATTACTGTTGTCATTGTTGCCTTAAAAGATTGTCTGCAGTAATGAGAGGTTAACTGACTTGCCCATGATTACATAGCCTTTATATGTCAGAAACAAGACTTGAATTTAGGTTTATTTAGCCCAGTTAAGATGCCATTATTTTTTTTTTTGAAGTGTTCCATACCTTCCTGTTTCTCAACTGTGTTGCAAATAGTTGAGGTAGCAAGATAAGTGAGGTATCAGTGCAGATCACATTGGATATGTAAGTGCCTGATTTTATGTACTTGGATGTTATCTTGAATTTCATAAGGACCATTTGTGTCATTTCCTATTCCCACCCTATCAGTGGTGTATGAAAAATACTTGATATTTCTTCTGCTTTTTAAAACAAAATTTTAAAACACTATTTAGTTTGAACCCTACATATCCCAGAACTTCAGAGAGTGAATACATTTTTTCCTTGTTTGGATTTTCTAGTTTGAAGCATTAAAAAATTGCATTCTGATAATTAATCATTCTGATCAGTTTTCTCATCTAAAAGCTATCTTTTAATATTAATGAAATCATGGAAATACAAACTATATATTCTGGATCATTTTCAGATTAGTCTAAGTCAAACAGCAGTAAATTCTTTTTTCCTTAACAGCAGTTTAAAAACTTGATATATTTTACCCATTTGGGAGATTTTTGTTTATTCAACGATTAAGCTGATATCCTGTACTTACAAAAGTTGGCCAAAATAGGCTTATAATAGACCGTGTATTTTTCTGCTCTTTTGATTTTCTTTTAAGTTTTATAAGCTGAAGCTGTTCAGGATTAAGTTGCCTTGAGATGTGAAATATTTTAACTTTAAACCCTGTCTGTGACTCATTGGTGGTCAGATCATCTCAACAACAAGAATAAACATGCTTACATCCCTATACAAATCTTTTTCAATGAATAAACCATTTTATAGAGACAGTATTCACTCTGAGGCCATGCTTTCCATTGTTTTTCAATTAGTGAAACGGCTTCCTGGAGCCTCAGAGTATCCTATCAAGGACTTGAGCACCCCTCCAAACTCTTTTGGAGGTGGAGGGAATGTTGGCCCAGCACTGGGTCCTGCCCGGAGCAGTGATATGCTGTATCTGATCGTAGGCTGTGTGCTCGGAGTTATGGTGCTTATCCTCATGGTTTTCATTGCCATGTGCTTGTGGAAGAATCGACAGCAAAATACCATACAGAGTAAGTAATTCAAAAGCTACTCATCTTTCTTTCCAAAAAAGGATGGGCAGGAAAAGTATTGTTGCAATAAATATTGACTTCTAACGCTTTTACTGTAGTATGTAAGTGTCATGGTAGAAAACATAAATGTTTAAAGCTGTTCGGTGGGTAACACTAATGATATTACTGTTCTTACTTGCAAGCCAAAATAAGTAGGGCATTAAATTGAATTGCCCAGAAGAAATAAATGCTCTGATCGACAATACAAAACAAAGCCAAAAGTAACCTGGCCCCTAAACAAATAACTGATTTAGTACTGGGAAATGCTGGCACTTTTAGACCATCTTCTTTCTAGTATTACAAATTTCATTGGTCGACACTGTGGTAGAAAGGAAGATGCTGGAGAACTTCTAAGTTACCATTGTCTGAATTGTCCATCATTTAAAATCAGCCCCATCACACTGAATGATACCCATAGTTGTTCATGAAGGTAAGGTTTTAGGGGATAACTAACCTAGTTTTGAGTGGTTCTCCATGGAAAATGTCATGGACAAATTGATTATGTACAAAATAGCTATATAGATACCATTGTGAAACATAGATTCTGATCCTTTTTTTCTACTTTCTCCTTTTCCTTTTCAAGCTTTTAACTAAATGCGATGGCCAGATCATATAAGAAATATCTTAATTTAGATTCCTTTGTTCTCCTCCAAGTAAAGGGAAATATTTAAAAAGGGAAGGGAGGCTCAGCAGGAGTATGGCCAGCAATGGCAGAAGTTGACACCAACCAATTTCCATTTGCAGTGAACCTTCCTTTTAATTCATTGCACAGAAAAACATGACATTTGGTAGGGAACATTTAATTAATAGGATTTTTCCCCCTGTCATAAATTGTTGTGGATGCTGCAGTGTCCTTTAGACATTTGAGTGTACTCTATGCTGCCTGAAATGTTGATAGGCTTTCTGGCTATGGGGAATGTGTGGGTGTTCAAAGAGTACTGGCATATCTGGTGTGAGGGCTTGGAGAGCCCTTTTCAGGGCTGCTTATCTACCTTTGATGTCCACCTGGCACTCAAATCTCACTTGTGGCTCCAAGAAGCTGTGGAATGTGAAGTAGCCACACCCTGGTAAACCATCTTGGCAGATGGGCGAAACCAGGTTAAGGGTAACTGATGGGCCACAAACTCATCAGTGAATTAGGGGGGTGTCTACCACAAGTGTGTAAAGATTTTCTCCACTGGAATGGGTGGATGAGAGCAATTTATTCCAACAGCCACAAAGGTGGCTGGAGCAGGCACTGTGAAGCACTTAGAGCTTGATCGGGCATTGAAGACACTAAGGTCATTCACTGCATCCAAGGCCATTGCCAGTCATCTGACATTTGTCTAGCCACTGGACTTTAGTGACTCTGGAAGAGAAAGTGATGCTGATGACTTTAACTCTGCCTCACTTTAATCCAGTTCAAGAGCAGGTCAAGACGTCACCCTGTGATGTCATTGATCCTCTTTGAAAATAAAGGATGAACAACAATAGTGTGAAGTAAACATTTCCTTTTAATATATACATGTATGTGTGCGTATGTATATATGCATACATACACATACATCCATATATCCATATATATATTTGTTAAATATTTCCCAATTATATGTAAAAAAATTTTAACAATAATTTTTAAAAATTTTGAGTTTTAAATTCTCTCCTTCCCTCTTGCCTCTCCCCTACTCCTTCAAAAGGCAGGTGGCAATATGATATCAATTATATATGTAAAGTCATAACATAGTCCTTTTAAGACATAGTAAGAAGGTTTTATAATAGTATTAATGCCATTGAAGAGTTTCTCAGAAACCAACTACTAGGTTATGGGATATTCAGATGTCATTCTTTCCAGGAAATATCTGCTTATCCATTTCTTGCTTCTGGTACATGTGCCACTAGAAATTAAAATTATGTATCATTTTCTTTTTTAACTTATGTCTTTAACAAAGAGAAAAGGACAATTCTCTTATCCTATATGTTTTTGTTTTTTCTCTAAACTAGTTACAGTATTCAAGGAGGTATGTAAATAGACTATTAAGAAATGGATAGATAACTTCTCCCTGATATGTAATTTATAACTATAAAAGTGCTTTTTTCCCTTTTTTGAAAAAAATTAATTTTCCAATTAATTTTTCCAGTTAACAAGTATTTTCTCCCCCTCCCATTCCTTCCCCCCTCCCTATTGAACAATAAAAAAAAAAGAAACAAAAAGAAAAGAAAACCATCATGACAAATATGCATGGTCAAGTGAAATTAATTTTCACATTGGATATGCTCAGAAATGTATGTCTCATTCTGCATTTTAAGTCCATCAGCTTTCTGGCAGGAGGTAGGTGTCACGTTTCATCTGTAGTCCTCTGGAACCATTGATCAGAGTTCTCAAGGCTTTCAAAATTTTTCTTCATGCTGTTTTCACGTATTTTTCCTAGTTCTTCTTGTCTTCATTCTGCATCAGTTCATAGAAACTCTGAAACTGCCCACTTTGTAATTTCTTATGATTCAATAATATTCCATTATAGTCATGTACCACAGTTTGTTCAGCTATTACCCAACAGGTAGAATACCTCTTTAATTTTCATTTTTTGCTTCTATGAAGAGAGCTGCTACAATTTTTTTTTGTGACTGGGTCCTCTTTATTTGTACTCTTTGAGTGGGGAGGGTCTATTCTTAGTGGTGGTATTGCATACTCAAAAGGTATGTACATTTTTGTGATTTTTGTGCATTGTTCCAAATTGCTTTCTAGAATGGCTAGACAAATTCACAGTTCTACCAACAAGGCATTAATGTGCCTGTTTTCCCACAGCCCTTCTACTGTTTTCCTCTTTTGTCATCATTGCCTAACTGATGGGGGAGCTAGAACCTTGGAGTTCTCTTAATTTGCATTTCTTTAATTATTAGTGATTAGGAAGATTTTTTTCATATTTTTATATGAATAGTTTGGATTTCTTCCTTTGAAAACTGCCTGTTGAAACATTTGACTTTATTTATTGGGGGATTCTAAAAGAGCTTTAGAATGCTTATTTTGCAATCTATTCCTTAAAAATAAAAAGCCTTTCTCTTGCATTCTAATTCATTACCAGTATTTCTTTGAGTCGTTCCATATTCCACAGTTTATGGCTTTTTCTTTTGAGCCTTTTATGTAATTCTTCTTTCCATCAAGAAACTCAGAGTTGATTCAAGAGGATTCAGAACTCCTTCTACAGGATATAATGGAAGTAATAAACAGTGATGATTTGTTCAGAGTTTTGTCTCCCAAATAGTAGAACTTTGAAGCAATAGCTTAAAGACTACTATTTATTTTTAAGATTTCCTTTGCATTCTTTTATCATGGGGAAATTAGATGCTAAGCAAATAATAGGTTAGTATTTGTATTGTAGGTATATCAACAAATATTTATTGTGTCTGCCATGTGCTAAGCATTGTGTATAAAAGTACAAAGAATGTTACAGTCTTTTCTCACATGGAGTTAACATTCTAGGGGAGAAGAAGCAAGTATATGTGGAAATTTATACAGCATAAGTATAAAGTGAATAAATACAAATTCTGATTGGTTGCTCAGTTTCATCTGTAAAACTTACTGATAGCCCTTTCAGCATCTTACTTTTTTTCTCCCTCACATTCTCTTGATAGAATATGACCCACCAGGATACCTCTATCAGGGCTCAGATATTAATGGACCAGTGATGGAATATACTACTCTGCCTGGCACAAGTCGAATCAGTGGCAGTGTCCATGGAAGTTTTATCAGCAATGGAACCCTTAGCAATGGCTGCCCACATCTGTACCATAAAGTTCCCAACGGAGTCAATGGAATCATGAATGGGAATGTAAATGGAGGACATTACCCTGGACACAACTCCCTTACCAGAACTCATGTGGAATATGAGCATCCTCACCACTTAGTGAATGTAAGAAACTTTCCACTTATATGAAAAAAACTTTCTATGGACAGCTGTGTGCCAAGGTATAGAAAAAGGGTCAGATCTTGCTTTTGGCCATGAAAGTGCACTGGTATGTTCCCTTGAGTGGAATGTGCCATTGGTAGTAGGGTAATCGTAGATCCAGGGTAGTCATCGTTTTCTCCTTTGTAATTCTAGTTTTAGTTTTAAATTGTTAGGTACAAGTTATCGTGAGTTAACTTATTTGTATTTAGTAATTAACATTTAATCTAGAACAACTCTACAGAATAGATTTTGGAGTTTATTCTTGATACTCAGCAAAAATCTTATAGGACATGGACCAGGCCAGTAAACATGTTTCACCTACTTTTTCTCAATTCCTATTTAACATATTATCATATCACACTCCTGAGTGACATCCATCTGTAAGGAAAGAAACAGTTGTAAAGCTGCTTTCTTTTAGTGATGTTTGATCTACTTTGGTATTAAAAATTTGAGTAAGATAACTTGTTACATGTTATATGAATTCCGGCTAAGGGTTCCTTCTTTCTTCATTAAAAAATTAGATTTACTACATTATCTGTCATGAATCCATATTTTCCATTTTGTCAGAAAATTTATGACAGTTGCTTGAACTAAGTAAGCATTCATATGTTTCCCATGTTACTGTTTTAAGTGGAAGTAATATTGATGATTTTGTTATAAAGTATACTAAGCAAAATTTTGAGGAGATAGCAGGTTTTTTTTCTAAACTTTAAATCTAACAAAAAATAAAATTCTATTTTAATGAAGCTTTGTTTTAAGCTTTAAAATTATATATTTGTTTAAATATCTTTTTTTAAAACCACAGGTATGTAACCTAGCCTTTGTGTGCATTTGAAAAAAATTTAATTTGCTACATGTATCTCATTTCTGAAAGGGAATAGTGATTTCACTATTCCATGTGGAAACAGGTGGCTTATTTCCAGAATTACTAAGTTTTTTGTCACTTTTTATTCCTAGTCAGAATGGCTGAAAATTGCCCAAGAAAACTGAAGAAGATAGCATGAAAGTTTGAGTATCACATGCTGTTTCCATAAGGAAAATGGGGCTGTTTGCTTTAGTAATTAAACCCAAGTAGTTTGGGGTTTTGGAATAATACGTTGCTATTTATGTGGTAGTTGCTGCACTAGATGTATTTCCTTAGAGGTCTATATCTTTGATTCACACTCTTTAGTTTTCTTGGAGATTTTTTCCCCTTTATTTTGTAAATTCTTACATTTTCAGATAGGAAAGAACATTTACATATACACATACATATTACATACGTGTATTTATAAGTGAACAGTGACTTATCAATGTAGTAACATTTTAAAAGTTTAGGAGCTGTGATAATGTAAATGGTTAATTTCATTTTATGAAGCTCTTATAAATTTGCATAGGCAGTCTGAAAAGAATATAAGATTATTCTCTCCCACACTTTTAAAAAGTAATTCCTGCTTCTGGTTGATTTAGAGGCCCTGTGCCTCTGAGAGAAATTCTGGGGCCTTTTATTGTACTTGGACTTTGCCATTTCTGAGGCAAGTAGAAATGAGAAGTATTGTGTTTGAACTTTTCCCAGCCTTCAAGGCTTGATTTGAGTACTGTCAATTAGCCTCTTCCATTTTTCTCCATGTCAGTTTGACTTTTTCATCACAGAGCAGAATTCTAGCTTTAAGTGTAGTCCTCCTCTTAGAAGCAATTCCCAGTCTTGCTGTCATGAGTGTCAAGTAAGCATTTCACAATGAGGTATGTGTTAATCTGGTTGTTTTGCTTAATTGCCAGGAGGTTTCTGCCAAAAGCAACACCAAAATATTATACTCTCCTTCAAGTCATTGCTGGCTAGGAATCTAATCCATCTGGAAAAATATAACGTATTTCAAAGCTCACTATAGTCAAGGGAACCAACCTAATCATAATAATTATAGGAAAATGAAGATAGGTTTTATCTTGTGACATCAGATGAACAGGCTTTACACCCTGTCATGTGATCCAGGCTGGGATCACATAAAATTCTTTCATGTATGGTTGAAAAGTAGAATTAGGGTACTATTTATATAAAGTGCATATTAAATGTATTTTGGCCACATTAGATTCAAAGCAGGGAAGAGATATGATTATATTCTACCTTGTACTTACTAACTTTTTTTACGAGTTCACACTACTTGGGAAAACACTTCATTTAATTCTGTGGAGTGCTGTTTTAGTATCATGTTAGAAGTATGCCACTTTGTAAAATTTCAGCCATGAAGGCAGTGAAGGTGATTCTTGTGTGATTACTGAGTGTCACTGTTAAAATATATGGTATACATCTATTTGCCGTAAATCTGTTTTGTAGATACGGGTTATTTGAGCTAATGACTTATCATCTTCTTTTTTCTGTTCTTCCTCTTGCCTTCAACTGTCTTCCTTACCAAGAGCGGTGGAATATATACAGCAGTACCCCAGACTGACCCTTTGGAGTGTGTTAATTGCCGAAATTGTAGAAACAACAATAGGTAAATGAGTGTGAATGTGTACACATAAACATGAACATAGAATCTAGAGTTTATTTTCCTTTGATGGTAGAGACTTTTGAGGAACTACAATGATCAAGTCCTGACCCACTGTGTTTTTCCTTCCTTAAAACCCTAACTTCATATGCCTTGGTTTCTCCAGGAATAGTATGAGAATATTAATTACCCTATTATCAATAAGCTATTAAAATCTTTAGGTTAAAAATGGTATTGGAATGAAAATTATTATCTTTTTTCATCTGATACTGTCTGTTTTTCTATCTTGCATATGTGTTTTGTGAAGATAAGTGGATGTTTGGGTACTAGAAAGTACTGGACTTTATTCCTCATAGTATATTGATGAAAGTTTTGTTACAGAATCACCTAAAGTAATGTTAAAAACTTTCAAATGAAAAACTTTAAGATAAGGAACATCTTTTTACTTTCTTTTCAGTTGAATTGTTATACAACTCCCGTAGTGATGAAAATGTTAACCTTGGTCAGGTTTCATTATAGCCATCTCCAAGAGGCTCACCAAGTTTTTGTCCTACTAGAATTTTGCTGTGTCTTATGATATATGAAATAAGTTTGCTATAAAGTACTTGGCAGTCTTGTTCTACAAAAAATTTCTTGTAATGCGCCATTCCTAGTAGCTAGCATTTACAAAAGCACTTTTATAAACACTCTCCTATGTGATATTTTTGATGGCTCTGGTAAGTGCTACAGATATTATTATCCCTGTTTTACAGATGAGAAACCATACTCAGAGGTTAAGTGACTCATGCACAGCCATTAACTGTCAAAGAGAAGGTTCCAGCCTAGGTTTCTCCTGATTAAAAGTCCAGTGCTTCTTTACCTGTGCGACACTGTCTATCTTCCGTGTATTTCCAGGATGCTTTGCAGATATAAAAGTTGTCTCTGTTAAGTTATAAAAATACTAAATTATGTCCTTATCTTAAAAAACGATTTTAATATGGTTATTAGCACATTTTGGGGTTGAAGGGGGAAGGCATTACATGCCAAAGAGGCTTTATGGCTTATGATTTTATGACACCCTGTGGCCGTTAGTGTTGTCGGTCAGTCATTTCTGTTGTATCTGACTCTTTGTGACCCCATTTGGAGTTTTCTTGGCAAAGATACTGGAGTGGTTTGCCAATTCCTTCTCTAGCTCATTTTACAGATGTGGAAACTGAGGCAAAAAGGGTTAAGTGACTTGCCCAGGGTCACACAACTAGTAAGTGTCTGAGGTCAAATTTGAACTCAGGTCTTCCTGACTCTAGGCCCAGCTCTCTATTCACTGTGCCTGCCCCTAGCCATTAGTGCACATACTCATTTTTTATGTTGGCAAGATTCATCTGTCTGTATTGTTTTGCATTCTTTGACATGACATGCTTGTTCCTTATTTAGGTCTGTAATACCTCTGGCATTTAAATCTGTAGTGATGTTGTGTAGAATAGTCATGTTTCCTGACTCCAGGTCTGTGCTCTATCACATTGTGCCTCCTGGCTGCATGGTACCAAGCAAATGGTAGTTTTTTCATGTTATTTAGTGACTATGTAAAAAGAAGATTCAAAATAATGAATTTGTTTTCAAACCAACTTAAAGCTACCATGTTGCCCTTTGTTCATTTTAATTTGGGATGTCATTACTTTATTATTTGATGCATCTGAACACAGATGGGGCATCATCCTACTATTTGTAAACAGGTGGTCCTTTTTTCATCTTCTTCCTTTTTGGCCTTTCCGCAGATTTTGACACTGTTGACCATTCTCTTTTGGATGCTTTCTTTTCCCTTGACTTCAGAGACACTGATTTTTTTTTTGTTTTCTTCTTGCCTGCTCCTTGGTTTGAGCTCATCCCTTAACTGACACTGCTGTTTCCAAATGATCTCTTTATTGCCATATCCAATGGCCTTACTTATCCTCATATTTATTGACCTTACTTTGATGATGTTGACCACCCCATCTATCTGCACCTGAGTTTATATAACAGCACCCTTTCTTGGTTCTCCTCTCTGGCATTTGGTTATTTCTTTTCAGTCTTCTAACACCATAACCTCATTAGCTCCTTTGGTTTTAATTATCATTTCCCAGATCTCTATAGCCAGCCCTCAATTCTTTACTGAGTTCTAGTTCCTTACCATTAGCTGCCTCTTGGACATTTCAAACTAGCTCTCCTATAGGAAACTCAAATTCAGCATGTCCAAACCCAGCAGAATTCTACCCCTCTTTTTGTGTTGAGGATACCACCTTCTTCCCAGTTAGGCTTACAACTGGGAATCATCCTGGACTGGATAGAGCACCGGCCCTGGATTCACGAAGACCTGAGTTCAAATGCAGCCTCAGACACATAACACTTAGTAGCTGTGTGACCCTGGGCAAGTCACTTAACCCCATTGCCTAACCAAAAGCAAACAAACAATTAAGTTCAATTCAAATGCTGCATCCTACATGAAACCTTTCCTGATCACTCTACCTGATAGTGAGTGCCTACTCTCCCAGATTACCTTGTCTTTATTTTCTATATACTTAGATGTGTACACATTGTCTTCTGTAGGGTATAAGCTCCTTGATGGCTGGGACTGTTTTATTTGTGTCTTTGCCTAGCATACACACAGTAGGCAATAAAGGCTTGTCCTTAGACTGATAAAAAGCAGTTTTTTCTTTCCACCTTCCTTTTCATTTTATAATCTTTTTGATTAATTTGCAAGACTTCAATCAAAAACATTATTACCTTTTACATTTGTTAGGTGTATTGCATCTCTGGCCAAGAATCTGTCATTTCTGTATTTTAAATTGTGGTCCAGAAATGCAAATACTTTTTTTTTTAATATGCACCATTTTCTTAACTAGCTGTTGTCCTCCCAAATCTCTTTCTCTTCTGAATCCCTTGACTTCAACAGGCAGCAAGAATGAAAATATTGCCTTTGCCTCTAAGGTATTCTAACTTGAATGTTGGATATTTAGAGTTAGGTAAAAAAGGAGAGTACTGTTATATGGCAAGCTATAAGGGAGCTATGTTTAAACACAGAGATTTGGTCAGCATTATGGATGTGGCTTATTTTTAAGGGATAGTTCTGTTTAGTTAATATTAATACTTAAAAATAAATCCCTAAGAGGAATGTGCAATGACATATTCGGTCAGAGTATAATATATATATATATATATATATATATATATATACCAGTATAAATGTAACTTTGCAAATAGTTATCTCTCAGACAGGAGTCATGGATTGAACAAATAACCTTTTTTGAGTTCTTTTGTTATTTTGGCAGCGTAAGGGTTAATCAGCGCTTTTGTTTAAAAAAAAAAGTCTGATGCCTCCTCCAGTAATTTCTTTCTTTTCTTACACCCTTCCCCCCTTCCTCTTTACCTCTTCCTTACCCTGGAATCTAATAAAGTAGTCCAGGTTACACAAGCTAAGCAACATGGCTGGTTGGATCCATGGGATTGATGCTGTTCTGGTTACATTTAACGTCATCCTTGATAATCTGGAAAAGAGAGTAAACAGGACACTAATGAAATTCACAGATGATAACTGAATTGGGAGCTCCCATCAGGAAGGAGGAAGAAATTACATCAGGCTTCCTATAGAGATTAGAGAAGTACAGGAAATGACCAAGCAAAAATCAGCTTGGAAAAATGTATAGAATTCATCTGAGAAAAAGCAGGCAGCATGGCTGATAGTAAAAATGAAGCATAAGCAGACTTGCAAGAAAATAGTGTCTTGGAAAACATGGACAACAAATGATATTCAGATTTCTCTGTAATGACAACCCAAAAAAGTCATTGTCTTATTGGACTGGATATGCTTAAAGGAAACATATGTCAGTGTCAATAAACATTTATTTAGTGCCTGCTATGGGCTAGCATGCTAAGCACTGAGGATACAAAGAAAGGCAAAAGTTACATAGAGGATAAATAGGAAATAATTAACAAAGCAGAGTCGCTAGAATTAAGAGCAAGGGGGAGGCAGATGAGGAGGGAGAACATTCCATGCATAAGAAGTAGCCAGTTAAATGCTTGAAATTGAATATAGAATATCTTTTCAAAGAACGGCAAGGAGGCCAGTATCACTGGATCAAAGAGTATGTGAAGGAGAATAAGGTATAAGAAGATAGGAAAGGTGAGGGGAGGGAGTTTTAAATGCCAAACAAAGGATTTTATATTTTATCCTAAAGGTGATAGGGTGCCACTGAATTTTATTGTGTAGGAGGGTAGCAAGATTGGACCTATCTATACTTTAGAAAATCACCTTGAGAGCCAGGTTCAGTATCTGGCTCCCAGCCTTCTATTCCCAAAATCCAACCTTGGGGATCTCAGCTTAACATGTTGATGTCCCCTCAAATACCCTTGCTTCCTGGCTCAAGTGCCATTTCTCTCTTTATCAGGTTCATGTTCTTCGCTGCCCCCATCACTGTATATTTTGTGTCTTACGTGTGGATATTCTTATGTATGAATATATTGTATTTTCCTGTTAAAATGTTAGCCTCCTGAAGTTAGGGATTGTCTCACTTTTTGGGGGGGGGTTGGCCACTGTGCCACCTAGCTGCATCTGGATTATCTCACTTTTGCACTTATATCCTCAGCACCTAGCACAACATCTGGTATATAACAGGTACTTATATAAATGCTTGTTGGTGGAAATGCTTGTTGATTTTAACCAGCTCATATAACAGTTTTCATATAACATCTATAGGGAAAAAAGAACAAAGCTACCCAATCAATCAACAGTTATTTACCAAATGCCTGCGATGTATAAGGCTCTGTGCTTGGCATTGGGAATACAAATACAAAAAATAAAACAATTGCTACTCTCAGGTAGTTTACATTTGAATGAGGGAGACAAGATGTACATATAAAAATATATATGTAGACAGAGAGAGAAAGCATGAGAGACAGAGAGCACAACAATAAAGTTAATCAGTACATTAATAAATAGATAAATATACGTATGTATGTATATATGTGTGTGTGTGTGTGTGTGTGTGTGTGTGTGT